TAACCCGTATATATATTATTGTCCGGTTTATTGTTTTAGGTGTAGCAAACTGATTGCTAAATATATCAACAGAAAGATTTATAAGCAATATCAAAATAATACTTAATATACAGGATATCTAGAACCCTTTCAATCTGTATACAGCAATTGCCCTACAGCATTACGATCAGTTAATGGAAAACTGATCAGGCTTATCTATTAATAAGTAAAAGAAATCAGAATTATTAACCAAAAGGAGATTTAGGAAATATATAAAGGAAAGATACCTACTCCAACACTAGCTAAACAATCTCAAATGGTTATCCCCAGACCCCCTATATTGGGAGCCTATATTACTACCTATAAGAACAAATAGCAATTGGTAGATTGATTATTTAAATAGGCCTGATCAGGGGAGGGCCCCTCCAACAATCCGATTCACACCCCGAGCCGTAACCCTCCGCATCACATTAACAAAGAGGTAAACTATAATATAATAGCTATAGCTGAAAAAGCCTTTTCATCTCCTAATTCTGAAATAAGCAAAAGGAGTGAGTCAAATGTCGACAAAATCACTATTACCCCTGTATAAATCATATAATTAATATAAACTCAACAAGGGAAAGGGGGCTCATAATCGTATAAGCAAATGTAGAGTATAGACACTCCAATTATATTATCTTCCTATAGATCACTGAAGAAACTGATATAGATATCATCTGTATTCAAGAACCCCGATTATACAAAAACTTGGCAATCCAAAATCATGCTGTATATAACCAATACCAGCCGATTGATATCTGGGGAATGGCTGATAGCTCTAAGCATAAGCTATAAGTGATTACCTATATACGAAAAGAAGGTAACTTAAAGGTTAGATAAATAAAGCAAACTGGAAATAGGGATCTACTTTGAATCAATATTAATGAGTATTCAATCCTTAATATCTATTATACTCTGCTTAATTTATTAATAATAGAATATATACTCGAACTAGAGATTGCCCTAAGGATTGATATAGTTATTGAAGATAACTTTAATGCTAAGTATGATTTATGGGAACCCGGAGTAGCAACTGCCAATCAAGATGATATACTTATACAATAAACTATCGAATAAGAAATAGAATATATCGGAACTCCTGGTGCTCCTATATATATAAGGGAATATATTCTGAATCTGACCTTTTCCAATTTAATCACCACTATAATAATAATCAATAATAACCTATACAACAGCTCCAATTATATCACTCAAGTTATTACTATTTCGAATAAAGAAACCTTTAAATACAAGCAAATATATATCTGGATACACAATTTAGATTTATCCTGTTTAGTAGGTATAATAACCAATCGCTTAGCAAACCTCTAGAACCCAGATCTTCAATCTATTTATGATATCAACAGACTGATTGCCAGACTCACAAGCGTATTGAGCGCCTTTGTAATAGCTGTGGGGCAGAAAGGCTACAAACCCTATCGATTATCCCTGTGGTAGATTAACGAGTGTAAGAAGGCATACTGAATATATATACAAATCAGAAGAACTGGAACTACTAATGGAATAATAATTGTCCAATAGGATCTATAAAGAGTTATATAAATATCGAAATAAGTTTATTAAATTAAGCACTTGAATGATATATAGAATAATCAGGAATTATACAAAGTTATAAACTAGTATAAGCTAACCCCAGAAGTAGGCCTCAAGGTTTTTCCTTTAATAATCGAAGACCAGAAGATTATTAATATTAGAGAAAAAGCTAAAGTACTCTTTATAACAATACTTGACCGCTTCAAAGCATCGGACAATCTATAGTATAATCCTTTATAGAAATAAAGCTATCAGACAATCTTATTATAAAAAAGAACGATTATTATAAAGGAAGTGGAAAAATATATAATAGGAGTTAGGAGTATATCACCCGGAATCGATTGAGCAATCGTTTGCCTCCTTAAAGTATACTGGCCTAGTATAAAGAGTGTAATATATAAGATTTTCGCAGTTTGCTTTAAACTTAGTTATTATTCTAATGAATAGAAACTTATTGAAATAGTTATACTATCTAAGGTTGGTAAAAAGGATAGAATGTCCCTGAGATTATAGAGGCCGATTATATTGATATTGTATATTGAAAAAGGATTAGAAAGATATATCGCCAGTCAAATTGTATAAACGGTTATGAGATACAATGTTATCAGCCCTCAATATTGCAAAGTATTATTGAAAAGAGCTGATATTGATCTTACAGTTACTTTCACTCATAATACTAAGCTTACTTTAGTAGTTAGCAAAATGATTATATTAATAATAATAGATGTACAAAGCATTTATAATATACTTCTTAAAAAACAGCTTCTATAATGTATAAAAAAGCAGAATTGATCTATAGCGTTTTTGTAATTCATTAATTCATTTCTAACTAGGAGATGTATATATGTAAAGCTTGAGGGGATTACAATACAGGATTTCCCGATTGTATGCGATACCCCCTAGGGATTGCCACTCTCCCCTATTCTATATACCCTCTATCTTGCTGAGCTTTTCAATCAAGATAGAGCACAATGTTTCGGATATACTGATAATATAGTTATATATTATATATCTAAGAACCTATTTACAAATATATATATGCTTTATCAAATCGTTCGACGCATTTTATAATGGAAAGATCAGAATAAGGTCTTTTTCATTTTAAAAAAGTTTGAGTTATTTTATATATCAAGGAAATATGAAATTGCAAACCCGGCTATAAGGATAAATCGGGACCTAGTTATTATGCTAATCCCTTTAGAATTTATCAACAAAGTACAACCAATCTTATGCTGGTTTGGTGTTTTTTTTGATCGGTGTTTAATGTTTTTATAGCATATCAAAATGCATATTGCGAAAGCTATGCGTATTGTATTCTACATCCGATCAATAGTTTATACAGCCTACGGACTATCTGTAGCCTATTTGCGAAAAACAATCATTACCTATATACTCCCTGTTACCCTTTTCAGCTCCAAAGTATAATTTGATGGGTTATACAAACAATACCCAAATACAGATTATATTCCGATCAGCATTAGGATTAAAAAATATATTGATCTAATTAGCAAAACAATTCACAATGTAGCACAAAGAACTTTACCTATTTATAAGATAATTCTAACAATTGTATTTCTTGTAGAAATTGATCTTCCAACTGGAATTATTGTATTAGAGCAAGCCAAACTGAGGTTCACATTTCAGCTTTAGATAGTGGATGTACAATATTTATTTGTAAATCAATTAAAGCTGTATATTAGAAAAAAAAGATGAGATATAGGTATTCTAAAAGGTTCTAATACAAAACTGCAAAGAATAAGATGAGCAATTCTTATTACCAAGCGTTCCAAACTTTTATAGCCTTATTTTTCTTTCGAGTGCTATATCGATTCAACAAATGATATAGATAAAAAGAATATTATAAAAGTATTTAAGAAATAATGGGACTTAATCTTTCAAGAAGATTATTTTGTATTTTTAAACAGATCTGAATAATACAATAAATATAGTTATTATATAGAATACGGCTTTGTAATCTATTATAATAAGCAATAAATCAATAATAGCTATAGCTATATATATAAACAATCGTATATTTTTGATATTGAGGCAATTGGCATATAGTAGAAACTAGAATGCCTCCTAAGTATTATTAATTGTTCCTATTAGGAATGAATATGATTATATATTAATAATACCTCAGTAATCTGGGGAATATAAGGAAATACTATTGCCTTCTTTCAATAGACATACCACAAATGCTATCAAGTAATACAATATTATAATATTGTAATCAAGTGATCCTCTAGGTATACTGAGATTGAGGATAACAAAACAACCGATCACCTTACTAATCAGGACATAGCTGAGCCACTTAACCCTAGCCCATCCTGCCTCCCTACAATTAGTAGCTCCCATTTTATTCTATATACCAAATATCAGTACTCCAAAAGTAAATAATGAAAGGAAAAAAGGGGTCTGATTTCCGAAATATATAATACATGAAAACCAATATATAATACCTTGGAACCAAAAAGCTTTTAAACTCCTTTGCAAGGTATTATACAGACTTATAATAATGCGAACCGGATATAATAACTTTACAATCTATCATATTAGATTTAATTATAAAAATAGCACAAATATCTATATATACAGGATTGAGAAAAGCCTACTGCATTTCTTTCAATATTCAATCAATAATCAAATACACAATGATTAACCGCTTATACCAAATCGACTTCGATCCGAATGAAATGTAATAGTATATATCAATTACATCCTGCAAATACAATATAGCTTTACTAACCTTCTCGTTAAATCCAGATTCTATATTAGAATATACTCAAACTATATAAAACTATACAAATTCCAATCTATTCCAATACCCCGAAAATGAGTTTTTCACTTTAATTAATCTAAGACCCGCATCAAACAGCCATAAGCACTCCAAGCACTTTCCTAATCGACAATAATCAATCTGATTATCCATTAATATTCGAATAGTATACAAAACAAGACTTTCTAAAACAGAATCACAAATCTTTAGATAAAACAATTACAAGATTGTTATAAGCAATACTGAATAAAGAAATATTAGAGGCAATAAACCCCTGATTAACTAACATTACACTACTATGAGCAGCTGAAACGCTAGCGGCCCGTAGGCCCACTCCTTAGTACGTCTAGAATACCCCTTGGGAGGTCAGATATTAGACGTTAATCACTATAAATAAATAAATAAATAAATATGATTCTCAATTTTAAATATAGGATTTTAATATCAAATTAAAGTTTAAATTAAATATTCTAGAAAAATCACGAATTATTTGATGAATTTGATATTTAAACTATAAAACTACAGATTAATAATCCGCTCTTTTTGAAGCGGATTAATATCACTACGAAATCCGCGATGACACAAAGTGCAGATTATTTCAGTGGATTCAGCACGGATTTTACATTCAAACTAGCCCTTAGCATATATGCTAATTTTGGGATCTGAGAGGGGAGATCGCTCGCTCGGTTTGCAACCCCCAAAGAAGTGGGTAACAGACCCAGTGCCAGCTTCCCACAATGGCTTCAAGATTCTCAATGACACACCGGACACCAAGATTGAGTACGATGAACCGACCTTTGTCATGTTCCAAGACACCAAAGCGCCTCCAGAGCGCCTTTCAGTACATCAAGATATGGCGAGCAGCTCCATATCAACGCCTGTAATGGTTGGGCCAGATTCTGAAGTCGGGACCACGGGCTTGATTAAAACTATAATGCATGTGGACCGATCGAAAGAGCCACTCAACGATCGTTCAAAGGCTTGCATTGCAGAGGAAAAGCCTCTGGTATATGTACCAAGTAACGACGCGCAAGAGGTCTGCACATTGACAACGGGCCAATCACTTGCATCAGGCTTTGGGCCGGGACTGGATCATCGATCTGCCAATATGGATTACAAGAAGAAATATGATGGTAGATCCGTTACTGTTTCCTTGACGTCTATAGATGTGAGAAGGCTCGATTCAGCTGCAGCATATTTGAAAGAGATGCAAACTCCGCTCAAGAATCCACCTCCAACCGATAGTACAGGAAAAACAACAATAATTTTTAATGAACAGGTTGAGAGGATTTCTCTACCAATATATCGTTATACAAAGGCAAGCATCAAACCACTTCTAACACTGAGGGCTCAGAACTTTACTGGAATAGTTTTCAAAGCGATTCCGGATGATGCTACGTACCTATCGGCAGCAATGGCTATAGTCCCTATGGTTTACGGGTGCGCTCATCTTGGAGCGCTTTCTATCATCTTTCCAAGCGAGATAGAGCGCTTGTTGTGGAAGATATCGTGCTATTATCTAATAGCTGTAGCCACCGGCTTTGGCATATGGTCTCTAGTGAAATATGGCGATGCACAAATTGCGCATGCCCTCGGATGGGAAGAGACCCCGCTGGACAAGTGGGAAATTTTCAAAACATACTATGGCGATAGGTGTAAAGGGATTGTTCGATTTCTGATTAATGGCACTTTTTTTCTGCTCACATCTTGTCAGACTGATGCTCCTCTATCTTGGACTATCAGCATACGTTGGGGCAAGAATGTATCTGGTGATTGAATCTTTCATATCACTACGCCATGTACCAATTGGAGTATATCAGACTCCAAATGTCAATATTATGGGTAATGTCCCACATATATGAAATATTTTACTTTTAGATCTATGGAATTCGGGTTCTTGATCGTGAAGGCTCTTGTTTTTATAGTTGTGTGCTTGAGGGGTACGAGAATCGCGTATATTCGGCTACAAGTAGATAGGCTATTTGCAGTTCAAGATGATCTAAATTGGAAATGTGGAAAGCATTTCACAAAGAGACATTTAAATCGCAGTAAAATCTCAACATCAGTGTTGTCTCATCTCTTCCATTTTCTCTATCCTTTAAGATGGTGTTATCTAGTGCATGGAAAAGCCCCCAAATACATTGTTTTGCCTCAAATAGGGCCCACTACTGCTAATTGGTGTTAGTCAGGGCATAGATACAGTCATTCATGAAATTTGAACACCTACCAGCGTAATTGATTTTCTCATCTTAATTTAAACCAAAAATAGTCGTCATATTCTTTTGTAGATCTTTAAATTAGTATGATGATAAAATACTGTAGAAAAACTGGAATACTTACTATGATCTGTTGCCTGACAATACCGAAAACATCTTCATGTGCTTGTTTCCATGTCTCGCTAGCGAGCCCCTTCTCATGCCATTGCAAGGAATACAGCGTCATCATCAGTGCTATCCATCATTTGACCATTCGCTTGGCATCACTAGTCTTCCACCATCTGAGGACATAGGGTCTAATGTCTATTTCCGTCCAATAATGATGCTGATCAAGCTTCTCGAAAGCATCAGCGTTGAGCTTTTTCATGACGATTTTGGGAGTACGAGAAGTTCTGACGATGACTTTGAAAAGCTCCTTCTAGCCTGCTGACATTGGTACGAATCTGGATGTCATGATGGCGATTAAGTGTGTGAACTAGTTGCTTCAATGATAGAGATAGATAATTGGTGGCTAGTAATGATGATGAGACCGATAGTATTTTGTAGGAGATAGAGTTAGCAGAATCAAAGAAGCAAGCATACATGCAGGAGACCATTGTGGAAAACACTGGCTATGAGTAGATTGGTAGTATCTTTCAGTGGTGAATGATGAGAATGAGGCCATTGTACAATGTTGACTCACTGCAACATTCACTTTGTCAAAACGACATGACTTCGTTCATGAAAAAATATCCAAGCTCCAAAAATTGGGTCAAAAAATAGATCAGCAGTGCTGCTGACTTACATTAACCTGAATGAAAAAATCATGATGATGAGATTACTAAAGCGTCCGAGGAGTTAACAGGAAGGAACTAGCCCATTGCAACACGAATGGGTAAGTTTCCAGGTTACCAAAGCTTACAAGAGAGAAGTGAACAAAAGAAAGATTGAGAAGAAAGGAGCATTAATAGGGAATGAAAAAGACAGGATAAAGAGGCTAATACATCACAGGTCAAGCTTAAGGTAGCAAATTTCTTTAAGGATAGCAACAGCTTCGGCAAAGCATTCTACGTATACGTATTTTCACAGCAAAGAATATTGATAGAGACCAATACAGGAAAGTCAGATCAAAGGGTTAACTTGGTTTACAGCATTCATGCCATTGTCCACTGTGAAGCGAATGTTCATATGTGATAGTCGATATCTATCGAAATCACATGAGATTATCTAATGTTTACTTTATCATGAGAATATCTTTGCTGGGTAAGAATACCTCTTCCATGAGAACCTTCTTTGTAATCTTACTTCAATATACCATAGGCATTACGGCCCCCCTTCTCATCACAATGAATTGAACAGTAATTGTCTCATGGGGTACATTCCTCTTGTAATGTTGTAGGAGAGGCAAACCAAGACTCATCAAGGAGTGTGAGAATCACACATAACTTTCTACAGCACCAGATCATAGTCCCAACATGATCATAGTCTCAAAATGATCATATTCAACTAGCTTTGTGTGATTTTTGAAATCGAAAGTAGTATTTAAATGACTGCGCGAAGTGGGATACTTCAAATTCAATCACCCGATGAATCTTTTGTGCGGAGTTTGTTCAATTCTACTCAAGTAAAATCCAAGATAAATCCAAGATGCATCAAAATACAAATTTCTCACTGATACAGCAATCTTATGTGATATAGCAACCTCTTTAGTTTCTCGAATTGAGAAAAATATGGTTATTACTCGTACTCAATACGAACAATGAAGTAAACTAATCACAGGATTTGAGACGAGATAGACCTAATGACTGTACTTCTCTTGGAAAAGAAAATCATCAGCGGAGAAACTCGAGACGAGATAACGCCAATTTCCAAACACAAAATCGAAAAATGAGGTATCCTGTCCGAAAACTTCAGATAAATACCATCTATTGTACGAATTCTGGCTCGAATAAATCATTCTCACATCAATACCATGGGAGATGAGAGAAGAAGAATATTGTAGACTGCCCTAACAATTGTATTCTTCGTGCATGTGGTACTATTCTTGCCAATGTTTTCAAGCAGCCGATGTCCTGCACAATGTACTCTGATAAATTTGTGTTCCTCCTGATGATCCTCCAGTGACCATCTGCATCGTCATTCATCAAATCTTCAGTCTTGTCTGTAAAATCCTTCATCAACAATGCTGATTGATTGCAGTTCTGGCGTTTTCAAAGCATGATATGCAACATGAACAAACTATAATCACTTCCAGTACTGTTTGAACGTCAGTATGTGATTTCCTAATGCGCTTTCCTCGTGTAATGAACCTTCGTTATTTACAACGAATCTCGTTCCTAATTTCTTCAAAGCTCCTACAGCCATTGCATGAAAATCCATTCTTGACTCCCTTCTCATATCTACTTCGCAGGCCAGGAACATCCAACTTGCCCATTAAACACGTGATAATGCCTTGGGTATCATCACGTGTCCACGAGCCCCCCTCCCAAAGGTCTCTCCCTCCTAAGTTGTGCAATCTAATCCTCACTTCTACACGAGTTCCATCACTCTCAACTCGAATATCAAAAGCTGCCCTTCATAGCATTGCCACCTACCTTCCTCCAAACTCGAATCTTCAAATACACAAACCCAAATGCACGAACCTCAAAACTCATCTCAAATTACCATTCCATCCCATCAACCCAATCCAAGCTTTCATGTCACCGCGACCCCAGACCAATCCAGGCAGGAGAATCTTCACACCGTTAATAGAGACAAAATAGGAAGCTGGAATCGAATCCCACAATCTCAACAATGATCTATCGACCAAACCCACCCACGTTCAAAACCATAAAATTCACAATTGTAATACGAAGATTTACCTTTCAATTGTTTCGGAGATCGTAAAGTTATCACAGCATCTTTCATGTAAATATTAGAAGCAATAACTGAAATATAAAAGCCTTTAGAGAGACATCAATTCTGAACTCTTTCTCTCATCCCCGCAGAGACCCCTCAATGTTAATATACGAGGCTCTTCTAACTCAGAGAATCTCGTATATAAAATAGACCTCAAACTCTATCCACATCTGCATTTGCATTTGCATTCTCATCCCAATTCCAATTGAATCCCCAAAGAACCCAAATCATCCAAGCAACCACGCACACACAAGCAAATAACGAGTCTCCAAGTCGTAACAATCTCCTAGCGGATCTTCCCTGTCACTTCCACATGAACCTTCCCTTTTCCACCTTCCTCGTTCCTCTTTCCCGTGTCACCATTTCGCCTGCCTCTTAAAGCACAATGAAGTCATAGATCCATCGATTGAACCTAGACCCCTAAACCCAATCCGCATAGATGTGGTTAATACGCTAGTTTTAGCTCCGAGTCTAGTACCATCTAGTTCCAGTCTAGATGCGTCGATCATGACCTAGTGGCGATCTGCGGGGGTTTTGTTTATTTGTTTCTTTAGCGACCGGCGACCAAAGGGTAAAAATGGGGTGCATGTAGGTACATGGTACCTGTTAGTTGCCAGCTGAGGTTCTAATGCTAAAATATGTATCGTAAGGATTGGTTATTGTCGCCGATGATTTTCTGAGTAAAGATGAGGAAATCGACGATGGAGGAAATATTGACCAGCGAATATAACTCCTAATAATTACATAACTTTCTATTTTCGCTATTATACAGGGTTTCTGTGATAATTAATTTACAAATGTGAAATGAACGCGTCTCTCCATGATTCTACAACCCAATCCCAACCATTTTAATTCTACCAATCCATACTATTTATCATAATGCCGTCAGAGCACCAAAATGATGTTCAGGCTTTTTTGGTCTCTCGGGCAAGGTAAAATTTGGACCTCTTTGAAAATCCTCACTTCTTCTACCCCAAGACCTAGAGGTGGTGCCTGAAGAAGCACCTGAGCTTCGTCTCTTTTCTCTCATTCTCTGTAAGTATTTGGTAGCTTCTCCATCCACAGGAGTGGACTTTATTCCGTCCTCGCCTCGTACTCTACCTAGAAGACTTGATATACTCGAGCCTGAGGTATCTCTATAATGCGATAGTCCTCTTCCAGCAGATGAAGGAGAACCATCCAAACCACCATATCCTGAATCTCTAGTTGGTGGTCTTTCATATGTTTGCTGATTTGCAACTAGTTTTCTTGGGACTAAACGTGATTGCGTACCGTTGAGCTCTTGGGCATGTTTGGAATCCGAGTCTGAAAGACCATCATAGAGTTTTTGCTCGCGAAGCTTTTGCATGTTGGAATCAATGTGATCGATGCTGTTGTTGTATTCAGCTGCTTGCGCATATTCCAAATCACGAAGTTCCTTAATTTTCTTCTCCTTTTTGGGGGTCGATACTGGTGCTTCTGTAATAGTTTGTTCTTTTCCAGCTGGTACATGATTCCAATGCATGGGTACTGTTAGACCGGCCTCCTGAGCAGCAGTCGCCATAACAGGTGGATACCTCCACCAGGTTTCCTTGCGGGGGAAGCCTTCTGCGGTGATGTACTCTCGTTCCATGACTTTCACGGGCTCACCGGCTACATGAGACCACTGAAGCCCACCTTTCGAGTCTGGTTGAAAATGTGTTGTGTATTTTGTGTTTGGTAATTCTGGTTCGACTCCGAACAGTGGGGAGTCGAAGGGATCTTCAGCTGGAGCTTGTGAGTGGTGATGTACAATGGACCAGTTTTTAGTATAGGTTCCTGTGATGGTATGACCCCGTACCATCGACTCTGGTATTCTAACCAGTGTGTCTCCATCGTCACCATAAACGTAATGTTTGGCTGGAAGGACCTCGGTATCGATAACTGGAAGAACTCGATGATACCAATGATGTTGATGGATTTCTCGATGAATAACTTTCGTTATAATTTCGTGTGAAGTCGGCAAAATATGTTCATGAACAACAGCTAATGAGAAAGATGAATCAGCTTCTGCTCCTATCTACTGTAGATCCTGCAGATACAAATGGCCAATTTTCTGGGCGGACAAAAGATGGTGAAGCAGGTGAATCTGGTAATAAAGGATTGAGTTTCAAAGGTGATAATTGGTTTGACTTTGAATGGCGACGAGTAAGGGAGGGATTGTATGTACCGGGTGCAACCTTTTCGTGTACAGTAGTATCCACAGTATTGTTAAGATCTACCACACCTTCAAGGCCTATGGGCTCCGCCCGTTCTCCAATAAGGTATGAGCCATTCATCCCAAAATGATCAGGCATTGGCGAGGACGTATGCTTCTGTCCATTTGCAATGGGGAATTTGGTACCATTAACGTGCATGTCGTCTCCATTGATTTTAGTCTCTACTTTTTTGTCTGTAGGGAAAGGAGTATATTTTGATGGCGATGGCATTGATCGAGGAGTTCTGTCAGAGACTTTACCAGAAACGCCATTTTCTGAAGACACATTGTGGTTGTGCTTCGCCGAAGTGGTAGTAGAGGTTGAGTGAGATGTGTCTCGATCCCGCACCGAATTGGCTCGCATTGTCTCCTTCATTGGAAATTGCTGCTTGACGAATTGATAATATTTGATGCTTCACGGTGTGATACTGAATGGATTGGATGTGATTGTGTAAAAAAATGCTCGACGACGAGCCTCTCCAATTGATGAAGTGTAGTGTGTGGCTTCGAAAATGTATGGTAATGTTTCTAGATCCCCTTGATGACGATCGAAGTTACTTGCATGACTATTAGAAACCGTGCCATCTTTACTATGGCAGGTGCTAGTGGGACAAGAATACTCTGCAGAACCCAATTTCGTCTCTGGTGGAGATCCGCCGAGGCAAAATAGAGATTCTGATACACTTTGGATGTCGGATGGATCTTATTTGTGTCGTCATTTTTAGGAATGAACTCCGGCAGTCTAGGTCTAGAATGTTTAGACCCTTCAGTCTCAGCCACACCATAATATCTAGATCTTAAATAGCGATATTGGGGATTGCTAGGATCTTCAGCTGCTTAAGAATTTTCCATGGCCAAATTTCGATTCACTACATCTTCCCCGTAATTCTTACTCCAGCAGTCATCGCTCGATTTCTGGACTTCGTCCACCTTTCAAGTTGTCATGCGCATCTAAGACATCGATGTATTCATTAGAGGGACGAGACGAGTGCCATTTATGATTTTGCACAGACCGTACATGCATTGGTAAAGATTCGTATGCTTGAGGAGAATGGGCCGAGTTGGGTAGCTTCGGCAATGTGTTCTACAGAGAGAGGGCGAGGCCGCGACCGCAAAACATCAAATTTCTTTCGTCGCAAAACAGGAGGAGACTTCAGCACAAGTCCAGAAATCATACGCGAAGAGAATTCTCTTCCCCAGTCCTGTATATCACCATCAACTCTAGCCGTTCTGCGTTCTCGTCATGTTCATTGGATTTGGTAGTGTCTTGTCGATGCTCTGGAACTATGGGAACTTCTGCCGATTCACATTGGACACAAGTCTTTCTACTGCTTCTACTCGTTTTTTCAAGGCTATCGTCGCTGTCGTATGCTTTGGAAGATCTCGGTACATCAATTGACAACTGGTGTCTAAATTTAGTATCGGTAACTGGTGAATTTGAACTCTTTACTTTTGACATCGATTTCCTCTTAAATTTTGAGCATCATTTGTCGATGATGACATTTTCAAGATCCAATCTTTTATTCTGGAAGCATTGATAGGTCAGGATGTCTCAAGTAAACAATCGGTGTTCGGAGATGGCTTTACGGTGGGGGATCTTCGAAATGCTTGTGACGATCGCTTTTGCCCAACCCTTAACTTGGTATTCGTATTGGTAACCGAGCACAACACAAACGACAACGACAACATCAACAAAAAATCAATCTCAGAGACGAAAGTTCTAAAGTACGTTGGCAAACACAGCAGGGATAGAATAACATGTCGGCGAACTTCCATTTCAATCTGTACTTAATCCGTTAACGACTGTAGGTTTACTCGATCTCCAAGATTTTAACGCACCGGCAAGGGAATTATTTCACTGGATTCTACTCTACTACTCCATTAGCAGTTAAACCCATCAGAACTTTGGAATAGAGATCATTGATTCATTGCAGCGACGTGGCATGGACCCCTTGACCCAAAAGCTAGATCCTTAGTACACTAGATTTCCGTCCACTCACATATCGGAATGCTGGCTAATCGGCCACTTACCTACTTCCGGTGTAAGAAGCTTCGAATTCCTTGATTTTGCGGCAGACATCCACGTGTAATGCAAATCATCAATATTTGGAAAAGTATTGAAATGTTGACAAGGAAGCAAGGAAGCGGAGCCCATCTCACCTAGCCACTTGGAACTGAACAGTGCATATGACTGGTTACGTTGTTTAGTAATCTTGTACAGCGGACGCCCCTTTCCCGTGTGGCGGCTTAATCCGATGCGGGGCACAATGATGCAACTTTAAGTTTCCCATCAAATCGATCATGGCAAAATCAACAACCATCAATAACATTCAATAATTAACATTTCTGCAGGATTTGACAATGTGTACATTGGTACGAGTCTATGACTGTCGACTACAATGCACTACTCAACAACTCTCAATATAGATGATTGGCTCTCTTGGTGCAAAAAAGAAATGAAATCTTGGTAATCTTGCAACTTTCATGGCATCAAGAAGCCACAGCACAAACAACTAGTAGTTAGACTTTTCTTCTCAGAACTCGTAACTCAAATAAAGTTTCTAGTAGGGCAATAATTACATTACGCTATCTCACGAACTTCAGCTGTTTTGGAAATGGAAATCATAGTTCCTTCAGCTTTTACTCGCGCAACAACCGAAACCCACTTTTGCAAAACTGCCAATACTACACTTGAGATGCCAAAATGGGATTTTGACATTTGTCGGGCAAATTCTGGCACCCAATTACCAAAAGAACATCTGGAAAGTTGATACAATATGATTCAAAAGTGGAGAAGAAGTGCGCAAGTAGCGCCAATCGACCTCCCGGCACATCTTCCTACCCTTTGTCTACCATGTAAGGACCAGACAATTCCATACGAGCCTCCGCTGGTTTATTCTCAGCATCGATGCACAGCCACTTGGTGACGGATCTTCCGGATCTCACAAAATCAGGTATTTGCAAGACACAGCTATCCGAATCTGGAAAGTACAACTTATTGTACCTAGTATGATGATGTAGACAGTGCTAGATGCGGGGGAGAAGCTATCATCTCGAGACTCTCGGGACTATAAGTGATAGACTGTCCTCCCATCTCGTTTTCATTTTCCAACACAAACAATCAAACAACCAACAACCAACAATCTTCTAATCCAATCAACTATATCCAACAAACACCTATTCACCTTCACATACACTATCAAATCAAAATGGATCGTGCCAAGTCAGCTGTCAGTGATTTCCTCTCCAAGGATGGAAAGCATGATACCACTGTTCACGAGGTACGAGTTCTTGCCCTTCAGTCGGCATCTCAGAAAGTGCTAATGATTTATCGCAGGACTATCAACCCAGCTGTTCAAAATGAGCACGTAATCAAGACCCGCCACGAAGAAGCAACTACTGCTATCGACCGTGAGGTTCATCAAGATCACCACCACACTTCAATTCAACCTATCCAAGACCGTGAAGTCCTTCCAGAGCAACACTCCCATCAACTCGGAGCTGTTGAGCACCGCAACATCAAGCACGGAGATGACAATCAGATTCAGGAACGTCTCGCTGCTGAACAAGCCCAATTCAAGAACACCAGAACTGTCGGAGAGACTCAACACACCGCAGCCAAAGGTGCCACCGTTGCTGGTGAGCATGTCCATCACCACGTCCACGAGACCATTCAACCAGTCATCGAGAAGGAGACTGTTCAACCATCCGTTGTCCACACCACCATTCCAGTCCATGAGGTTCATCAAAACGAGGCTAAGCACCACACTGCCACCGCTCTCCCAGCTGTCAGCATGAGCGAGTTCAGATCTCAAGGAGGTTCTTTAGGAGGACGTGAGGAGCGCACTGATGCTTTCAAGGGTGAGCCAAAGTCTGTTGGTGGCACTCTTGGAGGCGAGGGTGCCAGGGGCACTACCTCTTTGACTGAGGGAGAAGGTATCCATACTGGCGCTCACACCGGTACTGGTATCGCCTCTACTACTGCTGGTACTGCCCACCACACTACCTCCCACTCTTCAACTGAGTCCCACAAGAAGCCTAGCTTGATGGACAAGCTCAACCCAAAGGTCGATGCCGATGGTGATGGAAAGGCTGGTTTCATGAAATAGATGCGTCCTGTACACTTCACTTAATATTCCCCAACTGTATTTCTTAGCTCCAAACTGTATATACACACGGTAACTATGAGATAATTAATCAAAGCGAGTCGATGAAAACGATCTTATTGTTCCACGGTGTGAGGTTAGCCATTGTGTCGTATTTTCATTCTGCATATCGTGCCCTGTAGTTTTGATTTCTTGTGATTTTTCTTCGTAATTTATAGTCACAGTTGCAAGTCGTTGACCAATTCTGCGAATCAATTACGATTATTAGGTATCGGCCCTGAGGTCGGCTCTACGTAAGCGAAAAAAACAGGCGGAAATTGAGTACCTTTCAAAGGACTTTTTTAATAGATTATAAATTCATTTCAAATTAATATTGAAATTTGAAAAAAGCAAACGAAAATTTGAGTCTTCTTTGTATTGATTTTAAATGTTTTTTATTATTTTAATATTATATCGAAAAGAGATATTAGTTGTTGAAGGTCTTTCGAATGGTGGTCAATCTCCGCCTGTTTTTTTGCTTACGTAGAAGTCGGTTCCCGATGCCATCCGATATTTGCTCGTGATCTCGGGTGGTCCTCGGCGTTCTTGCAGACATTTGTCGATTACATAATCATACTTCAGTCTTCAACACTTGTGTAATTATCCAACTACAACAAAAACACTGCAGCAGGAGGAATCTCTTTCCAGAATATCATCAAAAGTTTTTCTCTCCTGGAGGTCTATGTACTTGGCGGGTTTGATTATTGATCGTTCCGGGTCAATTGCGATCCGATCGTATGATTGCTGCGTTTGCATAGGGTAATCATTTCGGGATTTGAAATTCTAGATGTGCTGCAACATCGCGTTGCATCATAATCATCAGCTTGCAGGCTGTACCTACCTAGGTGATCTATAATGTGCTCCATTCTATCTTACGGAGTTGATTTTAAAATTTGATCGTGGTGAGCAAACACCTGTCAATAACGCCAGCTAGTGTTGGGGTTTGTGGCAATTGCTTCAACAATTCAGATATTCACATGTACATTATAACTTGGTCTGGTTTCTTAGTTTGCTTTCAGTAAGTCTCGTCTTGTGTTCTTGAATTTCGGTTTCCTTATCTAGGGATGAACCGTTTCGTGATCTCCACGGCAGATCCAGAAATACGGAGAGCATGTTTGAAGCGATTACTACATTCCGAGCATCCACCGATACACAATCAAAAACGGGTTCAAACGGCTAATCTTCCAAACTGGAGATGCTGCATGAAGCAGCTTTTATCGAAACAACTTCATTGTATGTCGTTATTAAAATTTTATGCTTTACAGTATACTCGTAAAGGTGCAAGGCATCCTGCATACGACATCGTCATGTTTCTACCCCTCATCCCTCCTACGTATTGCTGTCACAAATTTTGGGGCGGGATTTGAAGTCAATCATATGATGATCGAAATGCATGAGATCAAAATCACAGTTTCCTTGTGTTGGGGGTAACTTCTGAGTTGTATAAGAACTCGACTTCATCCAAGCATTCTCTTCTCTCCATCACACAATCTTCTCATCATTCTACAATAACAAACAGCAACCAAAAGACAGGAACCAGCATTTATCATATAAATAACAAAATGCCTGCTCAAATCAAGAAGTACAAGGCCGCAGCTGTCCAAGCTGAGCCTGGATGGTTCGATCTCGAATTGTCTGTCAAGAAGACTATTCATTGGATCAATGAAGCTGGAAAAGCAGGTTGCAAACTCGTTGCATTCCCTGAAGTTTGTAAGTAAACCTAGCTCTGGTCTCGTTCTTTTCAATTTACTTACACACCCATAGGGATCCCTGGTTACCCATACTGGGCATGGAAGGTCAACTATCAACAATCTCTCCCTATGCTTAAGGCATACCGCGAGAACAGTCTCGCATCTGACTCAGATGAGATGCGAAGAATTCGTGAAGCTGCCCGCGAAAATGCCATCTACGTTTCATTGGGATACAGTGAAATCGATTTCGCAACTCTGTACATTTCTCAAGTTCTGATCTCCCCAACCGGTGAAGTTCTCAACCACCGCAGAAAAATCAAGCCTACTCATGTTGAGAAGCTTGTCTACGGCGATGGAGCAGGAGATACCTTCAAGAGTGTTGTTCAGACAGATATTGGAAGAGTTGGACAACTGAACTGCTGGGAGAACATGAACCCGTTCCTGAAGGCAATGAACGTTTCCGAGGGAGAACAGGTAAGATCACACTTGCAATCACTTTGATTAATTGTTTCTCACTTTTCTTCAGGTTCACATTGCTGGCTGGCCAATCTACCCACACGAGGAAACTCGCACTCCATTAGACCCTTGGACAAACACTAGCAACCCCAACTCCGATATTGTTTCTCCAGCCTACGCCATTGAAACTGCAACTTATGTTCTCGCACCATTCCAACGTATTTCCAAAGAAGGTGTTGACAAGTGCACTCCACCTGGAGTTGAGCGTGAGGATCACAACCTTTACAACGGCAACAGCAGAATCTTCGGACCTGACGGACAATGCCTTGCTAAGGCTGACGAAGAGTTTGAGGGCTTAATGTTCGTTGAGGTAAGATAGACAGCATTTACTCCATCAGAAATCTATACTAACGAAATTTCAGATCGATCTCGATCAATCACACCTCCCAAAGGCTCTTGGAGATTTCGGTGGCCATTACATGAGACCTGATCTCATCCGTCTTCTTGTTGACACACGTCGCAAGGAAACTATCACCGAGGCCAGGACCAAGATGGGTGGAATCGGTACTTAACACACTCAAGATCGTGTCGGACTTAACAGACCTCTTGATGCTCCTAAAGTTGATGGTCCAAGTGGTGTAAGCAAGCAGGTTCTTCCAAGCAATGCCAAGAAGGCTGCTCACAAGGTCTAAGTTTCAATCGTGCCCATAGTCACCGGATTGTGAGGACGAGTGTCTGCCTCGACGCATTCATTCTGTTGGAAAGAATTTTGTATTTTTAGGGTAAAATTTTGTACTAGTCTCATCTCATTTCATACATACTTAGCAATTTATTGAAATATCCATCTTATTTGATGTTTGGTATGTGGATGGTGATGCTTCCCAAATTTTCAACAATACTCCAACCAGTGCAAGCTCTCGGTGAGTTTTAACTTCTTTCTGTGTTTTGGCACTAATTTTTATGTCTCAGCTCATATTTCACGCCTTTGTTACCATGGTGTGCTTGAATTGGAAACAGCTACAACATTCGCTAGTGAACAAAGGAGTCGTCCCACTTTGTTCACAATCCCACACCTACCTAATTTGAACATCTACAATTGGTCAATGAATTTCTTTGATTACTGTAGGTTATTACTTGGGTGAATTCTGAGACTTTCAAACGCAACTTATTTGGAGAAAAAATGAAATTTCGCAAGAAATAATTCATATTTATCTGCCATTCATGAAAATGTCGGATTATAATTTCGACCACTCGGGTTTCACCCAAGAACATGTCCGGCATCTCCAAGAAAACCCTCTTGAAGCTTGTCAGCGAGAAAATGAATCGCTTCGTATTAGACTGGAAACGTTCAATCGTATGCTTCTCGAAGCTAAAGAGGAATCGCAAGCAAGATTAAATCGTATTAAACAGGTGAGAGACGAAAGGGATGTGGCTTTTGATGAAGGGGAAAAAATATGCAACGAGAGAAATTGGTGGACAGTTGGAGGCATTGAAGAGGGAAAAAGTTGAGGCAGAGAGGGAAGACTAAAGAATTGGAAGAGCAGGTTGCGAAATCACGGGAGATGGTGATCAGATGAAAGCAGAATTGAAAAAATTGAAAGAGAGGAAAGATGAGAAAGAAGAAACAGATGATGTTTCTCTTGAGCAGCAGAGAAATAGAATTGCAGAGGAGCTTGAGGAAGCAAAGGAGGTCATTAGGGGAAAAGAACTTCATATACAACATTTAAAGGAAGAAGCCAGGAGTAGGTCATCGAGAGTTTCAGAGACACCACGGTAATGAGTGCACGAGTACAGGCTCTTATAGAACAAATCCATGCGTTGCTGGCACAAAGAGATGATATGAGACAGCAATTGGAGATCTTGACGGAGAATTTCATAGGTACTCCGCCGAAGGAGATTACGCCAAAAGGAGACACACCACTGAGAGGAACACCGGAGCAAAACACAGAACGGCCGCCTGGTAGATCCGGTGCTAGTGCGGGCCTAGGTAGTGCTAATTTCAAAGGCAGTAGACGAATCTTGCATGCCCCTTCTCCTTTGAGACAACAGTCTTCTACCACCGAATCGGTTAGAAGATGAAGATTCAGAAAAAGAGGTGGAAGCGAAAGAACGTGATTCCGAGCGAGAAGAGGAGGAATCAGATACTGAAAAAGAAGAAGAAAATCTAAAAGAAAGTATCGAAATAGACGAAAATGACACATCGCTGGAAAGTTATCGAAAAGACAAAGATCTACATTACCAGAGACTTGTCAACCGCATCAAAGAACTCGAGAGAAGGAATCTGCGTCTCGAGCGCTATCACGACATGTCCACGTAACACGCGCAATCCTCAGTTTGACACCCATTCATTTCGAAGCATATCGTGAACGCAAAGAGGCTAAGAGGAAAGAGGGAATGGTATTGCTCGATATCACGGACAAGGAACGTAAGATTCTACGAAAACAAAATCGGAAGCTCGAAAAACAGTTGCAGGCATTGGCGGATCTGAGATGCAAGGATAAAGAGAAAGATACGGGGGATGCACAGGATTTATACTCACACAAGCTCAACATGATGTAAACGAAAATGCTACGAAAGATTACAAAAGATTGTATGAGGAGGCGGAAATGGTAGTGATGAATATGCTAGAGACCTGTGCGGATGTCGATGCCGAAGAAGTCTCGGAATTGCGGAAGGAGCGGGAATTTTCATAAGAAGCGAATAGAAGAAACTGGAAGAGGAAATCGATGTCCATTAGGATTGAGAGAACAATTGGCATTCGGTTACTGCTGAAAATACAGACGATTTCAATGCGGAGAGGGAGTTAACACGAGTCAGAGCTGAGCTCGAATGGTGCATAAAGGAAAGAGACATGGTTATGGGGAATCACACGTGGAGGAAAATCTCACATCCATCAAGGAACTAATGGATCAATTATCCCAGAAACTCGATGTTGACATCTATCCCAACGAGGAAAAATACGAACAATGCAAGGAAATGACCAAAAGTACCGGCAATGCCAGCGTGAATTGAGCGACGAGAAAGAAAAGACCAAGTCTCTTGAAAGGTTTCTGGAAGAGAAGTACATGGAATATGAAGACCTTGCCAGCGATTTGCACGATGATTCGATGAGCGCAAGATTGGCTCGAGCATTGATTGAACTCTACCAAACGAAGAGAAAACTGATGGATAAAACGATACAGAGAAATAGTCTCACCAAGAGTGCAGTGGGATGTTTAACGACCGTCTTGCAACACAATGAAGTCCTGGAGCAGAAAATATACACACTGCAACAACATCCCGATCGCGATCCTGAGCTTCCTATCACAGATGTAGATTTGGAGAACGAAGAAGAACAATTGCGAGACTCAGTGGAGATTAATTTGTTGGAAAAAACAGCTTCTTAAAGCTCAATCGGATATCAAATCTGCGGAGAAGAAGGCGAAAAAGTCAAAAGAGAGATTGGATGAATATATTGGGTTATCTTTTAACAAATCAAATACGCACCCTAGAGTTGAAGCTTTGAGATTAAATAGACAAAGATCCCCTCTCGATCCGAACGCTACTGACCCGGAAGTCATTGCGCATTTGAAGGTTCAGCTTAAAGATACGGATGATTTGGTGGAGCTTATATGTCAGAGATATGACGTTGCAGAGGGCGAAGCGGAAGATGAAAAGGAAGGATTGGAGGCAGATAAGATGGAGGCAGCAGAGAGGGCGGAGAAGGCAGAGATAGCGACGAGGAGATTGGAGGATTGTATGGATTTGGTAAATGGACCTTTGAGTCAAAAAGAGGCGTGGGATAATCTGAAGAGATTGTTGAGAGAGGCAAGGGAGGACTTGAAAACTAAAATGAATGAGTGGAAAGAGAAGGATGGAGAACGTGATTGGGCAGTTGAGAGTTTGGAGAAAATGTTAAAGGAGAGTGAAGAAAGGGAAGCGGCACTCGCTAAGCTTCTACATTCGACACAAGAGGACATGAAGAGTGAAGGTACAAAGGACGCGAAGATTGCAGAATTGGAAGAACAGTTGAGGAGGAATGAAGAAAGAATACGAGACTTGCTCCGGGAGAAAGACGAGAATAAAGCCAAAGCTGATGGACTAGAAAGTTTCCTTCGAGCTAGCGAGACGCAAACAACACAACTTGAAGAACGACTTAGGAAGGCCGAAGAGAGAACTCGAGATTTGCAACTGGAGAAAGATACCCAGCAATCTGAGGCTGAAAGACTGGAGGATCTTCTCAAAGCTCGTGAAACACAAACGGCTGAATTTTTCAAGACATTAAGAGATGAAGAGGAGGAACAATACCGAGTGGAAATAGAGAGGTTACATGAACTTCTCCTATTAAGAGAAAATGAAGACGAACAATTCCGCGAAGAAATCGAGAGACTTCACAAACTACATAAAACTAGCGAGGGAAAGGTTACCGAGCTTCTCGAGATATCAATCACGACTTCGACATGATTATCTGATCTCGAAGACGAGATCACGAGATGGAAAGTCGTTGCTGGAGAAAGCATTGGGGAGATTGAAAATTTACAGAAAAAGTTGGAAGATGCAGAGGCAAAAGTTGAATTGCACAGTATAACGCAGAATCAAAATGCGGAAACGCAAACTGACACACCTACATCCACAAGCATGGAAACACAAACGGAGGATATTGAACTTCGACAATCCGCAGTTCCACCTTCTACAGTTGAACCCAAGCCAAAGAAATTCAAAGGGAAATCTCCAAAACAGAAGCCCATCACAAAGATCCCGCGAGATCCACGCTATCATCCTCAACATCCCGATTCTGAATCCTCAGATGAAGAATCAGAGTCCCATGAGCCATTCAAACCGCAGCCCAAACACAACGTTGCACTTCGTCAAGAAATGGATTCAAGCCATCCAGCTCCATCACCCTCTCCCGCTCCTTCAATAACCATTAGACTTACATCCAAAGCCCATGCGAAAAAGAAAGCTCACGGAAAAGATAGTGTAGAATATGATTCACCGTACAAATTCGAGACCGCGGTAGAAAGCGAAGATGAAGAGATACCGGATGTGGAGATAGCGCAGGAGAGTCCGATTCAAGAAATGCAGAAGGTGGGAGAGGCGGTGAAATCGAGGGGGAGTAGGAATACGAGAAATCCGGATCCGGTGTATACCGGGCAATTGCTGGTGAGGGGACTTGGGAGGGGAGAGAAGGAGAAGATGGGTGGAAATAGGGCTGCTAGGGGCCAGAAGAGGAAAATGAGTGAGAGTGGGATTGAGACTGGGAAAGTAAAGAAGGGGAAAAGGCAGAACAGAAGTGTGTGATATGATGAATTGTTTTTTGGGTGGTATCGATAGATACTTAGCTGAAGTCTTGGAATAATAACTTCAGATTTTGTGAATTTTCTAGTCAAGTGAATAAAGCAAAAGCAGTAATTATCAAATTCTCCCCTTTAATGTCCTCCTACTTAGCCTAGTCCCGTATACTACAGACGACTCACAAACACATACTCTTCCCCCACCCCCAAACACTATTATCCAGCACGAATCTAATTCCGCGTCAGTTGCCAATATAAAGTTCCCAGCGAAATTGCATATAATTTATCGTTCATGTATATTTCAGAATCAATGAATTGATAAAGTTCCACCTGCATACTCAACGAGCTTATTAAACAGAATAGAAGTTCATCCAAATACAAGCAAATTAACACGATAAATTGAGAAACCTCAGGGATTGAATAAGAGTCGCGATTAAGTTGTGTTGATAGCAGCGAGAAAAAGAGGATTTCAAAAGAAAAATTTACACCCAGGTGGTAGAAGTGATCAAAAATCTACATTCGGCGAATCGTTTGTTCCATGGCCAAAATAAGAAGTGTGGTGGCTCGCATTTCGGGTCCAATCAACAATTGCCAACCAGCCGCGCGACGGCAATGTGCATGCGATGACACCCACCAGTAGTAGATAATGAGCTGATTTCCCACTCTTTTGATTGTTCAGAGTAACTTCCTTTTCTTCAGTTCAGAATACAGAAGAATTACCATAAATACTTTTTCCATTGAAAACTCACGGCCCTTCCGAGTATAGCCCTAATTTCCATCGATAAAATGGTTTATCCTCAACTAGTACAGGGAAAGATTTACACTTTCATTCCTGACTCAGAGATCCATCATTTGGGTATAACTCTCGATGACAACATTGAAGAGATTGTGCGTAAGCACATGGTTATCTGTCTTGGTATTGTGCGCAGTAGACCTAACTACGTGAAAGTGATGACGGTATGTCACCCATCCTCCTCATTCGCCAGCACCAATTCTAAGATTTCAAGATTACCTCGACCGTTAAAAACAATCACGAATATGTGCCTATAGCCCCCACACCCAAAAAACCATATCCTATACAAATCCAACTCCGCAACAGCTCGGGCTATTCTCGTGGACAGTGGGTACGTCGCTTCACTGCACTGCGTCTAGACTCGTATCTCAAAATCGATGCCTGCTACGAGGTTCCCATTCAAGCCCTTGAGCAGGTTTTTGATTGCTACGGAAATCCATTGTCTATCCGACCTGGACGCGGCGCGGGAGGATTACCGCAACTAAATGATTACATTCGACGTCGTGATAGCATCCGCGAGATGGAAATGACATATCGCGACGTGGAGAAGCAAGATGAATTATTTGAAGCGATGGAGAATTTGAATTTGAGCGATGGCTGAATAACATCGCGAAATTCAGACCTTCCAATCCATCACTGTATCTACGAAAATTCGTTAGATATGGTTCCATATCACAGGATACCCCAGAGTATCCACGGATATGTATCTGTTCGACAAACTGAACAGATAGTTCGCCTTAGGCTCCTGTATAAGGATCCAATAGGTGTGAGCAAGACGGCTCTAGATTGTCTAGTGTTGCTTGCTTGGCTATGCAGATGAGGCTTGCATGGTCCGATTGGAGGGTTCGAATGTGTGGATACGTGATACGAGAGCGAGTGGAGAGGAGAGGAGATAAGAGGGGTTGATTCACAATGGGACTACATTCGTTTGATGGGCTTCAAGAATGGTGTTTTCTTGCTTGCTACTGATACATTCATTCGTGAACGAGATGATACTCTATGCTTGATGTGAGAGAGACACAATCGTTAGCTTTGATGTTTTGGATCTGGGAAGGATTTTTAGTTGTTTGAAATATTCACTATCGCTACTCATTTCAAATGAGAGAATTTCCCGTATGATCTATGATGACGTTTAAACATCACAATACAGATAAGTAAGTCCTGATCATTCGAGTCGAGATTATGAACCGGTTATAGAGCACAAGCCTAACCCATAGTACTGGTTTCGCTCTCCTCCGGTCAACATCGCCTCACAAGTTTATCGTGATTGTGTGCGCTCATCAAGTTGGCATGCGATCAAACTACACGATAAAGAAAGTATGATCCTTACTAATCTGGTCATACTTCTAACATGGATAGTCTTGCTCATCGATTTGCGACGCAAAGTACAGATCGCGGTACTCAGGACCAAAGTTCAGCATACCTATCCGCCGAAACCTGCCCATCTCGCAAGATACAAGTTCAAGTAGCAAACAGTAACTGTTGGATAGACCATAGCTGCCTCGGTCATCATTGTCATACCAAGGCACGTAGAACAGTTTTTTCGAATCGTTCAGAATGGAAATTTCTGTTTCGTTGGTTGTGAAATCGAGCCCGGCCCAAACAAACAGGCTTTGTCGAGCGTCCGAATCATTCTCGCGTTCTTCCAGAGACTCCAAGTCTTGTTTCGGCTCGGTAACCCCAATTGCATCAACGGGAAACACATGGAATATGTCTTGACCTCTTATCAGCCTCATTCGCTTTAAGACTCCCTGGACCATGACTTCGATGCATGGCGTTGATGGGGGCATGATAATGTCTTCGTTGAAAACATATTTTTCAGGGTCGGTGTGAGCATAAGTACGCCACTTGACACAAGTTACCTGTGGTAAGATGAACTTTTCATCGGGATCCTCACCTTCAAGGTCTCCATCTTTTATGAGAACCCAGTAGCCGGAGATCCATGAAAACGTCAAATGTGTTGGCCTCGAGAAAAGATTATGTTGCTTAGAATAAGACATGTTTATCGTGCTTTTCCAAAGCATTTCGAGAGATAGACGACTAAGCGATAGTCCTGCCACGTACACATCTTTTATATTATCTTTTTTGAATTTTATTATGAATTGCTGAGCGATGCCTGCTATTGCTGCAAGTCTGTCACTCGGGAAGGTGAGCTCTGTGTCTGAATATTTCGACACCAAGTCGTACCAAGTCTGATAAAGCTTGTTGCTGCTGATCGACCTGGCGTTCGGCAGCAATTTCTTAATGGTAGGTGATGAGGTATTGTTGGCGCCCACGGAATTGGGATACACAAGAGGCCTCCATGGTACGACATCAAGTCCCACAGATTCGCTCCAGCGTTTCTCATAACACTCGTACAGAACGATATCCTTGCAGAAGTAGATGTTCCTGGGACTCAGCAAGCGTTCTTGGAATACCCAGCCGCGCATAGCCAACTCAGAATCCTCAACCAACTCACCCCAAGCCCCATCTCCCTTTTCAGAAGACACTAGAAAAAATTTCTTCTGCCATCAAGTCTTGGACGGCATCTCAAAAGTAGCATATTGCACCGTGCATGGATCTCTTTTTGTAAACAACCTGCCTAGTGTAGGCCCCCACGAGGCACAAATATTGAAGCATGCATTCGAATATACTTCATGCATCACTGGAGCCTCTCGTTTCCAATCTGCAAGCTCATAGCCCTCTTGAATGATACAGAGAGAATCAATCCAGAGAAATTTGACTTTAAGTCTCCTGACCGCTCGAATGGCATCCTGAAAAGTCTGAGAAAGGACTTCTGTCGGAATACTCTGTGTTCATAATGATAAATTGTCGACAGTTAGCCGCGCCATATTTTCCTTCCCCCAACGATGGCTTAGGGTAGCGTACTGCCTGTGCGCAGAGACTTGGGTACCATGTACGATTCGTAACTTGAGATCCTTCTTATTATGACTTTTGAAACAATTAATTTCAAGCAGCCGAGTTGGACGCCAGACATTTGTATGTCTCTCTCGACGGTTGGGGCATTGTATATGCTCGGAGGTACAACGCTCCAGCCATTTATTTATTTTTGCAAATGTCTCCTTCGAATCAGTTGAGCTCGAGGTGATCCTCCAGCTTGGTAGTACATTTGACAGTTCTTTGCCAATAAGATTCATTCTGCCTTGAAAATGAGCACATGGGTAATACTCGTCCCCACACCAGAAACAGACGCTGAAAGAGTTCCCACAGATCCTGTAGCCCATGAATACCGCGGGGGATATAGCACGAAATATCTGTGGGTTTGGCATATCGTGTTCAAAACATTCCCCGTGCCTCTTGTTTTGCGGAAGCTGTCCATCAAGACCTCTTAACTGTGACTGAAGATTCTTTGCTAGGTTGCAGAAGATCCGTTTGCAAATATAGCACCCATAGTCGGTGGGAGCGAAGAATACTTCAGTGAACGTTTATCAATTTCCAGTGCCATTGACCAGATGTAACCTGAGGGACCGTCTGGTATGATATTCCAATATAGACGCTTGGTGATAAAATCTCGACAATGTGCGCATAAATTCATGATAACGGTTGAGGGATTATCAAATGGTTACAGCACAATCCATGTGGTGGCAGAATCCGTGGTTGACGAATCAATTATTTCGTTAATTATAATTAAAATTTCAATACTTAATATTATATTGAAAAAATGGGTCATAAAATATTAATATGATTAACTTTTATATATATATATATATATAATTAGAAAATTTTACTTTAAAGGGACTTAGAGAAATTTTGAAATTTATTGATTTTCGAGATATTTTGATTTTCGAAAGTTTTAGTTTAAAAACTATTTGTAAATAAAAAAGTTTATTTGTATTAAATTCGATTAATAATCGATTATTGATTATAATTATATAGATTAGAGTTGATTAATATTCTTGTTTAAATAGTATATTCTATATTGTATAGTATAGTTGTAAAGCTTTTAATTGAAGAATAAATCGAAAGTGAAGTAAATGATTTGTAAACAAATCCCCTTTAGATTTCGGCTAATATTCTTTATCCATCCTTTAGTTTTCCCCACTTACTCTATATACTCTTTAGCTCCTATACTCGCTTTCCTTTTTCTTTTAGCTCCCCCACTCGTTCCCCTCCTCTTTCTAGCTTTTACACTCGTTCCCCTTCTATTCACTTTTCCTAAATCATAAAGATCCTTTAACTGAAAGGCCTTTATTTTCTATTTTTTCTATTAAAATATCAATAATAAACAAATCCCAATTTGGACTGATTATATTTGTTAATAACAAAATATATAAGTCGTTAGGAACAAAAGAAGTTTGAATTTAATAATATATGTATTAAATATTTATATCGGAATTTATACTAACATTTTATTTGTATATAGATATCAACTTTGCCACCACAGGGAATGTATAAAACAAAATTATATATTGCCAGATCTATCAAGCTGTATACAAGTTTAGCAAATAAGAAAATAGACTTTCGTTCAGTATAGAATTATGATAAAACGTGGGTGTCTTTGGGCAATAGCTGTACACGTAATAGTTATTACACGATGATGTGTACTTTGAGGTTCGCAAGGGGCAATCTAGCCAATTTCATTCCCCGCTCAAATCGAGGTTCTGTACCGGGTTATCAGTCTATTCATACAGCTTTCTATAGGTTTAATGAGCTGTATTGATTATCGATTTGTTTATGTAATTTCCTATACCTATGCTTGAAAGGTTTTAATTGACTGCTTTCCTATCGAAATCACTCCTCTTGAACTTCACTATAGTACGTCATATAGACATTTTTGCTCAGAATAATATCAAATAATAAGAATTAGATTTCTTACTATTTTCTAATCTATACTTTCATTTATTAAATTTCAAAATAATTTTTTTAAAATATTATTTTAAAATAAGTTTCAAAATGATTTCTATTTATATTCAAAATAAGATATAAAATATCTATAAAAAGGCTTAAAAAAAGATTTCAAAGATTTCAAAGATTTCAAAGATTTATATTTTAAAAATTAAATAATATATATCAGATAGATTTTAGAATCAGATAACACTATATTAAATAAAAGAAATCGTTCTGAGCAAAAATGTCTGTATGACGCGCCATACTTCACATCTTTACTGAATAATATCGTATATTTCATTCAATCAATACTAGCCAATTCCCCGCTTTTCCTTCTCCCCTCTTCCATCTCATTCGAAGCTATCATTATTTCATTATTCCATCGTTTCCAAATCTACCCTAGCCAACGCTACTTCAATCCACCTCTACAAATCAGTAAAAGAACGCTCCCAATCATCTTCCACTTCTGAATCTTCTTGATTCGTCCAATCCATATCGTCCTCCCCACCATCTTCATTCTCATCCATCATCTCATCCTTTATCTCTTTTCCCTTCCCCTTCCCCTTCCCCTTCTCATTCTCCCTATCCTCTTCATCAAACTCACCATCCGACATCTCCCTCTCACTGTCACTAAACACTATCCCCATCAATCGTAAAATCATCACCGCTCTCTAACCCTTCATCTTCTCCAGAGCTTACAATTTCGAAATCACTTTCACTTCCACTTCCCGTGGGCGTCATAGCAGCCATATCATAACTTCCTGTCGAGAAGACACTTCCCGTATTACTTTCACCGTCATCATCCCACACTGTACCAGTTTGACTCCCCACTTGACTCCCAGCTCCTATTTCTGTCTCAGTTCTCGCACTCCCGTCCTTAGCATCCAAACTGCTATTTCTCTCACTTCCCATTCCTGTTCCTACCCCACAAATCCACTAGCCCCTTTATACATAACCCCCGGCGTCAATCCTCCCACATTAGCATAATAAGCGGGTGGTACATCCGCGCTCGTCACACCACCACTGCCGTCGTCATTCCCCCCTGCCCAAAGCGGTAAGTACTGCCATTCCTTATCGGTTAAACAGAGTAGTGTATCCGTCAACATATTGTTTTCTGATCCGTCTGGTTTGGAGAGCATCGAGTGACAAATATGGTCCGTATAAGATTTAAGTTCGTCGAGGAAACAACAGAATTTAAAATTGTGAGGGGGTTCGCTTAGTTGATAAGGACTGGAGTTGGCGGCGAAGGGCGTGGATGTATTGGCGAAGGTAAAGTTTGGGGTATCTTTTGATAGAAGAGCGGAGCTAGTTCCTATGTCTGGGTGCGAGATATCTGTGAGTGGAGCGGCTCTGTATGATTTATAATCATCAAGCGATTTATGTCCCATATGCTGCAAAAAGTTCTCGAGAACCTTCGGTGCAGAATTCTTCGGCGTCTCTTTCGCCTCGGTTGAAGGTCCCGGCTGGGCATTAATATCATATTCATCCTTTATATTTTCGACCGTAACTTTATTTTCTTTTGTGCGCAAAGGTAGATCGAGTAATGGCTTGGTCGAAGCGTCAGTTGAGACGGAGGATATTGATGCTGAATCATCTGTTTTCTCATCAAATTCAGCAGCTCAAGTTCTAATGCTCTAATACTTGCTAGACGTGCCTGGTGATATGCATGGTCTTGGTTGTATGCACTCATAAATGCATATTAGGTCTCTCTTCATCTAGGCTCTTCGGTTCAGCTGCTGGGATAGTAGGTAACGGGTTCGAGGGCGACGAAGGATTGTAATTCTCCTTATTTACCGCAAGGTTGACCTCGCGATTAAAGTCGTTGACATAAATCTCAAGATGAGAAGTATTTGTCAGGCGCATATTATCCCTATCTACAAGACTTTTGCCTGAACGAAACCAGCTGCGGATTGTATAAGTTAAGTTTAGGGTTCTCAAAATCATCCTCCCAATATGTATCTCGAAGGCGACGCCAGAAATGTGGCAGTAAGACTCTTTCACGATCGCCAAGACCGTTGTAAATGTAATTTGGATCTGGGACCCTCATTCGATTCATTTCCTGAAGCTGCACGCACTTCCCATTGAGCTTCGCGTTGGCTTTTACTTGCCATAGTGATCTCAAAGACTTCTAGTCCTTGATTCAAACAAGTAACAATTTTCCCTCGAACAAATCGACGAAGATTGACGAGTAACTGCTGAATAACCGACTTTCTTCTCTCATAGATGGCTTCATTTTGTACTTGTATATCTGTATTCCTATTACAAGTCCTTATATGGTAGTGGTCAACGATCAACGAGCTTATAACAATCATATCTACGGATATCCCGAAATCATATTATACAATATATATTAGTGCGATCGCTGTAGTGTTTCGAGCTGCTTGGCTTGAGAATGCTGTTGCAGTAGAATCAGAGAGGGCCGGTGAGCCAGCCGTTACCTACAGGGACAGCGGGCTTCCTGATCGATTTCGATGATCGCTTTTCAATTATTGTTCCGAAGAAAGTGCGGATTAGTAATAAAAGCGCTGGTCCCCTTTCAAGCTTGTTCGAGAGTGGCCAGAATACTATTAAAATAGTTGTGAAGATAGTTATTCAGAAGAAGATTGATATATAATGGAAGTGTATTGTAGATGAGGTTTTAGTATTTACTAGTTTCAAGACAATCCTTATATAATTTGCAGTGTAATTTGCGGAACAGGATCTAAGCCAACTGGTAGGAGAACTGGTACACAGAGCATTAACAGCCATTACAGATGGTATAAAAGGGATCTTTAACTTAAAGCTAGCAATAAAAGTGTGAAGTCAACTACACAAATATATACAGGGATACTTTGAATTTCCAAAACTGCAACCACTACTCCCTCCAGCTCAACTGTGGAAGCAGGGGCTGTAAACAAACCCAAACGGATAATCAATAAAGCATTGAGATTAGAATGTATAGACGAAAGACTTTTTTTTCGACTCGATAAACAAACCAAGATAGAGTCATCCTCATAGGGAATCAGATAGGTGCTAGTAAAAGCGGTTTCAGAAATTACTACTCTAGGGACTAGAGCTATTGTGGTAGTAATATCCATTCGAACTGGGTGGGCAGTCACAGTTTCCTTAGAAGCCCGTATAGTTCTTTTTGCGAACAAGCAACAGGCTATAGCAGCTATTAAAGCTACAGATCTTGTAATCAGTAAGCTATGGTATATATATATAGCATCAGGGATCTCGATGATTATTACCAATCTTCTGGGAATGCTTACAGAGATTAGGGAAAAACAAATAAAAAAAGAAATCTGGTATAGATGGGATTACATCTAATACGGATAGTGAGATCCAACTCGGAGTAAATGAGCAGAATCGGATCATCTAAATATTATCCTTTCAGGAGTAGTTATCTTGTTGTAACCTATTCAATAAAATCTGAATATTTCTAGCAAATAGAAGACGAGCTTTGGGAAGATACAACCCAGAGTATCAGTAATACTGTGAAAACTAGAAATGTAAAAGAGAAGTGGTATACAGAAAGTGTGTATACCTACTATTTATTTATAAGCTAACTGGGGATTGTAATTATTCAATACAATGTACAGAATGCTGCAGGCCCTTTTCAGCAAATCATAATAATTGTTTTACCAAACCCCAGCAGGTGAATAGCAAAACAGTGTACCTAGATCGAAAGCAGATCCAGATTATTCGATAAGTAGAGAAGATTAGTATTACTATTGCCTTAGTATTAGCAATAACAATTCAAATACTAATAATAATGTAAGGAAGGAAAAGGAAATCTAGAATGGATGCAATCTCTCGATACAAAGATGGTAACAACTCGGAAAGTGATATTGGAAGAAAGCAGCGAACAATATCTTAGGGAGCTTAATGGATAAAGAGTGGGATATGCAAGATCAATATATTACTTATAATAAAATAGCAAAAATCAACAAGAATCTCAATCTTAAAGTTTTGAGTAATCAGGTTATGACTAGGGGATATAATACAATAATAGAAGATTTATATAAATAAATCGAATCCGCTATCTATTACCTAAATAAATACACGAAAAAGCCTTGCACTATATGCAGCAATATTGCAGTGAACATTTGAGGAAAAGATCGATGTAATATGTATACAAGAGCCCTGAGTATTCAATACACATATTCAAATACATAACGAATATCAATGCCTATCCCTAATAACCTCCTGGAGGGGGAGCGGGATATACGAGGAAGGGTAGGGATGCTTACGAATAATAATATATATCAGAACTGAGATTAGATTACAAGTGCTATAATTAGTAGAAGAAGAGTATAGAGATTATATATAGCTTTCTATAAATAGAATTAAATTATTAAATCTATATAGAAAACTGAATACCTTAGGAGTTCTGGAGATGATTCTTGATTTAATATTAATTGGGGATATAATCATTGGGGGAGACTTTAATACTTATTATATACTATTCGAGCTAGGTATGAATACAGTGTATAATAACAATCGGCTCGCGGAATGATCCAACAATAGAGGTCTCAAGTTTATGAATATCCCAGGGTAAGCGATATATAGAACAGGATATATAATCAATCTAATCTTTTCCAATATTCTAGGAATATATATAGAAGTAAGAAACTGATATGTATTATGGATTTGATATAATACTCTTCTTATTATTATACAAAAGCAAGCTTAGTATTAAGATCCCAATATGTGTATTATATTAGGGAGGAAGACCTATCTTTGTTTTAAAGAATGGTATTAGTTAATATAATGAAAATCAAATGGGAGGTATAAATAGTAGTTACAAGTATAGTCCTGGATTGAGCTGTCGAAAACATGTAGAAGGTATTATAATAAGCAATTAGAACAATAGGAAGATCAGATTGGAAAACAGGAAAATCGGTTTTCTGATAAATACTCGATTGTACGATTGCTTGAGATATATATCTTTGGAGTTGTATAACTAATAGTGATTACTTTATAAAATGTAGAGTATTTTTATTGTGTATATGATAGGCTAAAAAAAATACTGAAGGAAATTTTTTAATAAAATGAAATCAGATTGAGATCTGTATAAAATAATCGAATAATACAATCTGAGTTTTATATACCACTCTCCACTAATCATAATAGGCAAATACACCACTATGTTGAATAAAGAAAAGGCCGAGCTACTACACTCAGAAATTCTATAATATTTTAAAGCTATTAACAATCTCCCGAACTCCGAATATAATCAAAATAGAAAAAAACTACCCTGGGGGGAGCCTATCTCTATAAAGAAAATGGAATGTAATACTATAAGAATCTCGAGTACATCCCCGGGGACAGATTAAATCACAATGAGACTACTAAAGGCTATCTGGATAGAAATAGGCCTAGTTCTACATACCATTTTCAATAAATATCTACAGCTTAATTATTTTCCTATAATATAGAAGTAAGTAGAGATAGTTATGCTACCAAAAATAGGGAAGATAAATCAAATATTCCTATGATTATAATAGTCTATTGCTTTTCTCTTCTATATTAGAAAGGGCCTTGAAAGGATTATAGTAAGATATTTAATGTGGATAGTTCTAATACAAGAAATACTTAGCTCATAATATTACAATGCCTTTTCGAAACGATTAGCTATGGACTTAGTAGTATTATTTGTTTACAATACAGAAATAATGTTCAACAAAGGCTATGAAATCACAATGGTTATACTGGATATACAAGAAACATTCGATACTCTACTTAAAAACAGATTTCTGAGATAAATAAGGGAATAGGGGTTCCTACAAAACCTAATTGCTCTGATCAACTCCTTCTTAATCCAAAGGCAATTTAGGGTTAGACTTAATAAAGCAATAACTGGCTACAGTATAATAAAATACAGTATTCTATAAGGCTTACTCCTTTCGTTAATTCTGTATATACTTTATCTCGTAGAGCTACTTTAACAAGATCCTAAACTCTGATTCGGATATACAGATAATATCTATCTATATCGATCATCGGTAAGCGTTCAACAAAACGTTGCAATGCTAGTAAAAGATATGAAAAGTATATTTTGTTGAGAAACTAGGAACAAAATAATCTTTGTATTCGAAAAAATGGAGATGATCCATATAACACGGTACAAGTATTCTATCAATCCGGTATACAAAATAAACCGCGATTGTATTATCTCTCCGATTGTACCAGGATCGGCTCTATGATGGCTAGGCGTATAATTTGATCGCAAGTTCATATTCAAATAGTATATCGAAATGCGAGTAGCCAAAGGTTGGAAATTGGTTTATTACATTTAAGGGCTAGTCTGGATCACAAATGGATCTCCAACAGCATCCTTACAGAAAGTAGTGATCATTTACTTATACCCAGCCTTATTCTATAGGGCAAAGGTATAATATACAGAACAAACAAAAACCACTGGATAGCATCGAGATGGGATATTAGTAATAATGAGTGCCCGATTAGAAAAAGCGATTCTAGCTATTAATAAGATCCTACGAATAGTGATTAGAGGAGTCCTCTTAGTCTGGCGAACGACCCTGAATATAGTGATAATGAGGGATAGCGTTCTCCCACCAGCAAAAATAGCACTAGAACAAATAAAATGGAGAGCAGTTCTTCATGCTCAAACTATTGATTCAAAACACCCTCTTTATCATTGAGGGATAAGAGCCACCTATTCCTCTGGCAGTAGGGAAGGCCAATTGCAGTTAGTCAGAACAAAGGTTTAGGTAATCAGTTAGTGTCTTTCTGAATCAAGGAGATGACTTTAGTAGGGTCTCACTACACATCAGGGTATCGAACGGATCCCATTAGAGGTTTTACGAAAGAGGTAGTGGCAGAGCAGTTTCAGGAATGGTGGAATAAGTGTATATATAATCAGATTACTATATTCTCTAATGGATTGGAAACAGACCGATAAGGATGGTAGGCGAGTAGGATATGGATATATTGTATATAGAGGACAGATGGTAGTATGCAAAGGAAACAGTGGATTGCATTACAACTCTTATATATTCGATACAAAAGCGATCGGGGCATATCGAGGCCTTCAAGTAGTGATCAGAAATATTATTGGTATAAAACAAATGGAAATCTGTATGTATATTGATAGCATATTGGTGATATAGGGAATAAGAGGTATAGCCTCTATCACATCGCAATAGGCTTTCCTCAAATGTTACAAACTAATGCAAACACACTCAATCCAGATCAAATAATCACCAGATTATACAAAAATCAAAAAAAATGAGCATATAGATATACTCACTAATAAAAAAACAAGAAAATTAGCCTTAAGGTATATGAATCGATTTATAGCAAATGGTATTCACTTTATAACAAAAACTACTATGAAATCAGTAGTATAGGCATAATGGATCAAACAAAAACCAATGCTCTTTAAATAGTATTAGAAATGGAATCTAAGGAGTATAAATAAATATTCTAATGAATTAAAACTCTTATAAACTACTTTTTATTGTATACTAGCGATTTATTCAGTATATAGCAATTTCGAAAACTATCATTAACAATTTAAATATAAGAAAATAACAATTCATTGCTTATGTAGCACATACAAATCCTTTGAGTATATTGTACACTACCGCAAAATCCTTACGATCTATGAAACCTGGCTCCCAGATATCAGGCCCAAATACCCACCCTGCAACCGAGTGGCTTAAGAACGATTACTGAAACAGCTAATGCATACACCAACCAAGTTCGCTGAATTTATTACTATAACAGACTTCTACAGGAGCATATGCCCTAGAACGCTATCAGAAGAATAGGAAAAGGAAATGGAAATGGATTGACTGATCCGGGTGAACACAAATACAGAATAGGAGGCGATCGATATAGCAAGGCTATAAAGAACAAAATCGATATATACAATACACTGCGCTGCACTAGAATACATACAAAAGCTACCCTTACAGAATAAAGCAGCTCTCAATCAAAACATTATATAAAAGATCGGAAAGCGCACACGGAGGCGCTCAGAGGATCGGAGACAAAAGCGCAAGCGCGCTAGCTATCGCTTGGGAGGCTACTGAGGGTATTGAGACCTCATTTTTAGGAGAGGGGGATCATGTAAATTAGAGATTATCCCGCAGTTAGCCCAACCGTAATGCCCCCTGGGAGGCTCGCCTATACGGCCCGGTTGAAAATTACTAATAATAATAATAATAATAGATGGCTTCATCTTTCTTGCTCTTATCTTTTTTCTTGTAGCAATAGTCTTCAAACTTGCATATTTTCCTGTACTCTGGAAGTTCCAAAAACCAAGCCATTCTTTCATCCAACAAATCGGTGATTGTTTCTTGAACACGATCGCAGAAGTCTTGACTGGCATGTTGAATAACGTTCCACAAATCTTCATCAAGCTCTTCACGAGGTCGAAGATACTTGTACTCTGCTCGCCTACCAAGACCTGCACAAAAAGTTCTTGAAGCAACATTGAGCGCTTCTTCGGAAACGAGAATTGAGAACGCAGCTCTTGTAATCATAGGTGATTTCAAGCCAAGCCCAATATTTATACTGGCTTCGGGAAGAACTTCGAGGAATTTGATATTATTTCCATTCATGATCCATGAGGTTATGTAGTCAATCTGAAATGAAGTTAGACTTAAAAATGTCGAAATGGAGGAATGATTGCTTACCACAACGCTTTGTACATTCATAATACTTTGCCAAAACAAATAATGTCCATACTTTTGGCGCCGAATCCAGTTTAGGTGCTTTACCTTGAATGATTCTAAGAAGATTTTCGACTCCAAATCGATGACGGATCGGACAATAATCTAGGACTCTTTTCTTTGACCCCGCTACTTCGGTAGAGTCATGATGAGCAGTTCCCACCGGGTCACTTCCCGAAGGCCCAATAAACAAATGACCGTCTTCCAGGCTATTCTTGATCGCTCTCTGCATATTCGAATCTTGGACAGACTTGTCACAAACAAAAGTATCATCTTTAGGTACCGTACGACCCAAAGATGTAAAAACAAATTTATCGTTGACATGCGAGTTCATCCTTGACTGCGAAGAAAGAAAGGCTATGTAGCCGTCTACCGGGACTTTTAATCCGAATTGTTCGGCAGATTTAGCTGGTACAATGGGCAAGGGTCCAGGAATATCATCATCACCAGCAACCAGATGCTTTTCGACACCACATCGCTTCTCAGCCAAGTACCAATTCCTAATTCCTGCCGAGCAGGATAACTCTGATACCAATTCGACTGCCTCATCACCTTCTTCTAGTGGTGTAAGATCAAGTACATATCTGATACTTTCTGGAAGATAATGTAGAAGACCCTTTCTCTTTCTCGCCAATATGTGGTCGTTCTTCGAACATCCGAGAGAATTTTGTTGAACCAAGAGCTTTTAATTTGTCGCTACTGGCTCGATAAATTTTGTATGGTTGTGGTTCTCCCTTGAAATCGTAGAAAGTAATGCCACCCGGATATGAGACGTATACCAGATTATCGCCTTCATCCAAAAGCGATTTGCTGTACTCGACTGCATTGTGATCTCTCTCACTGAGCTCTTGTCGAGCTTTGCGTTGTTGCTCGCCGGCATCCTCCCACTCTGAAGTCAAAAGGGGTCGCACTATTTGACAATATGTCGTTAGTATGGAATCAAAGTTTATTATGCCAGGTAGATGTGAAGAATGATTAACTCAAAGATACGCACCATCATTTGAACTGGGACCACCTTTTTGATCAACACTTTGATCAGACTCATCTATTTGACCTGGAAATCTTAAAACATCTTGATATCCATCATTGAATGTCATAAGTGGAGTTTCTTCTTCGTCTTTTCGTTCCATATTTTCTGTTTCCCCGGGAAGCTTTAACCCTTCACGAGATTCATTAGTGACTGATTGTTTGATGACTGCCTCTTCCGAATCAGCATTCTCGATTTCCATATCGGAGAACTCGAACATGACATCTGAAGCATTCCAGGTGATTTCTCCAGGAGGAGATCTATTGTTCTTGGACCCGGAATCTTCCATTGTCGCTATTGAGGCGAGTAACTGAATGAATGAGAGTAAACTTGTTGACTTGGTCGTCCAACTGAAGTTACGAGATGATACTCGGATTTGAATATGTGGCGAGAGCAGGGAATCAATAAGGCTGAGGAGATAAATGTAGATCTAGGCAACCACAGGACCGCCTTTTCGGAACGATAGCAGAGACCAGCAATATAAGTTATCAGTTCAACTCTCCAATTCAAGGTATTCGATAGTCCAGTACACGAATCCAGATACGCGGTAAGAGTGGAATCAACAAGGCTGAGGCAAAAGGAGATTAATGCAAATCTATGCAACAACACGACCGCCTCCTCAAAACGACGTCTAGTTTAACATAAATCAGCACAATAAATCACAACAAAAAGAGGTCGAAGATCAAAAATTCCGAATAAAGTATAACAAGTTCACAAGTTCACAAACCAAATCAACAAGAGGGAATGGATAAACTGGACTCTAATCTATTCCACACCGGTCGGTAAAAAAAAGAGTAAGCCTTCTTTCTCACCATCCATCCAAGAGTCAAGCTTCAACGTGATAAGGCGGGGTAAGCTAGACTGGGCTAGTTAGCTAGTTCAGCACAGGGATAAACCAAACCTAACCATTAGTAATGAGGGCTATCCGGTCACAAGCCACAGGGAGGCCCACAGCGGTCTGAGCTGAGGCGGTTGATAGGGTCTATTCTAAGCCTGTCAATTATGCATAGCGTGTTTGATGATTGCGACCGAGCGAGTGTAGCTATCATTATTAGTTGAGCCTCAATGGAATTAATTGACCGACTGGAAGACAACTTGATTTTTACTGGATTCTCTTAGGTGATTGTGGATTCGGATTCAGATCGATGATGGATCTAGAAATGGAAATAAATGTGTTGATTCATGCTAATTGGACGTACCTTAACAAAATGTATATCGTAGAATTGGATGTATATATTTGAGTAGATACCTATTGATAAAAGGTGCAAGCAAGCAAGTGAGATTTACATATAGAGAATGTAATCGGAGAAGTCTAAATTTGATTCCTTGGCTGATAGCCTACCTATGAGTATTGAAGTGAGCCTTCGTAATAAATCATATACCCCCCCTTTCCCATGATATCTAACGCTATCCCATCCCATCCCATCCCGTCATTATGACATTTGAATTCTTTACATTATCTCAATCTTTCAGCACATTCCATTCTATCCAATACATCATTCCCAACTAACATTGACGGATAATCTCTCTCCTCCCCTCAAATCCTGGTAGTCCCAGTCCCCTCGGGTTTCCCTTACAACACCTCATAAACGCCACTCTCGCCGCCGCATCCCATCCTATTTCAATATTCCTACACCTAGTCTCCTCAGCCAATGATGCTCCCCCTCTAACACTCTATCCACCTCAGGCCCCTCCTCTCTATATCCACCAATCTCTCCATAACTTTCCCCACCGCTCCAGAAAATCCTCTTACTTCCCTCCCACTCAAATAATCATACTTCCCCCTCTTCAACAACATCGAAACTGCAATTCGTCTTAAATCTCTATCTCGAATTTCCCATGCCACAACCATCGATGGAATCACAGTCGCGAGTTCAAAATCTCCGTTTTCCTCTAGCGTTTTTCTCCAACTTGGGGTTGAGCGTAGTATTTTAGCAATTTCTTTTAGCTCTTGTAATTGTGCTGAGAATCTTCCCTCGGCAACGTCAAGACTATTGAGGTGGTTAGATGAGGCGATAAGAATGTATCCGGAAAGCCAAATCATTCTTAACATATATGCCATTAACAAATCCGAATCTTTATCACAGTGAAATTTATCATTGGACTGGCATCTCTTTTGGCGGTCTTCGAAAAGAGGCGAGAAAGATCGATTCCAGCGTTCGTATTCCCTTAATGTTCTTTTCTCCTCCTCAAATCTAGGATCAATATCAAAGAATAATCCATTATCGCGAATATGGTTTTCCTGGCCATTATGATATGCTGAAAAATCATGTCGTTTAAGAGTCGAAGCCAACCACTCCATGCTTTTCACAATAACCCTTTCCAAATCATTCTTCGCCTCTGTAAGATTGGAAAATCGGCCCGGCATCAATTCAATATCTGGTTCTCCTAGACTTGTCCTTCTTTGATGTTCTGGTTTTGCATCCGCGTATCGTAAGATTCGGGATTCCAGACGACTAAAGCATTTCAAACAAGCAGTTTCCGACATCGATCCGAGACGGCCACCTTGGGGGATATATGTCCTGACTACCCACTCACGAAGTGCTCTTAGTCCCAAGTACATAGTCGAGACTCTTTCATGGCTGATGACCTCGTTACCGCTGGCCAACATATTAGAAAGTAGATGGGTAATGAGTGTTGTTCTACTTTCCACGTCTATATCAATGATTCCTGCGCCTATTCCCAGGCCCTCCGAAAATGGCACAGTTCTCTTTTTCGTCAAACATTTCGTATTGCAATATTCGTGGTAAGTAGCCATGTGTCTAAAGGTTCCTATATGAACTCCCCGATTTTTCGGTCGTAAATCGAGAGATCCAATCATGTGTACAGCATCAAAAACGAGCGACGAAGATTGACATCCAGAGAATATGAGACCCCACCAAACTTCAAACTGACCTGAACCTCCCGTAATCTCTTTCACAAAATTTCGGAAACATGCTTCGGCACTTTGATCCCTCCATGTCGAGGGTGGAGAAACGGAAGATTCTGGCCGTGATAAGATAGAAGAGGTCGTGGAAGCCACAGAGGTGGGAGAAGTAGCGGGACTTATGGGCAGATATCCAGTTCTTGGTATCAGCGTTCGTGGCGCGATGTTGGTTCCAACAGTGGGCTTCACACTGGATCTCTGAAGGTAAGCGTAACCTTCGCATTTATGTCCAAATCGTACACATCGCATACAACCTGGTTTTGCCTCATCGCATTTGACTCTCCTCGATCTGAAATATGCTCAGTATATCGCCTTGAAAGGTATGAATAAATATGGTTTGGATGAGGGTGGCGGTGAACATACTTGCAAGTCAAACAACCAGTCTTGACCTTCGGTTTACTCGCACGAGAGCGTCTAACTTTGGGTTGTGATATCGGTGCAGTTGATGTTGGACATGTTTGTGGAAGAGCATATATCTGGTTTGCCATTGATACAACTTCCGGCCATCGATCAATATCGTATCATTAGCTTTGTGGTTGCTCGATTGTATTCTCGCAGCTTATTCACTCTGCTTATACATGACAAACATGAGCGTTGTAAAGCAACAAAAGTATGAAAGGATTTCGAACCATGAAAATCGAACTAATTTCAATCGGCGCACCCACATATATCATTCGATCCTGCGGCACACCATCTTCAAGCTGTGCTTCGTACACTAAGATGGGTGATATCCACCTTAGACCATGCTTGGCACATTCTCCACTCTTACCCTCCCTCCCGAGTTGATGGTTCCTCCCCAGTGTCCCCACAAGCGCTTACTGCTCAGGCTTCAGCTCCCCCCACCAATGAGCTTTCACTACCCCCACGTTGTGAATGACATATGATCCATTATTGAGTCTCTTCAGCCAGTAAAAGAGATTCTTTACCAACAAGATACGAGAGAAATGTCCTGTCAATCTTTCGAAAGGGTTAATCTCAGTGGGGGGAATTAAAAATGCCAATCATGCATCCTCGTAATAGCGACGAATAAGGAATAGAGGCGTGATGAAACGAACGAAAAAGGAATAAGGAATAAACGTGGTGGGTGGATACGGGGTGGGTCTGCACTGTAACCTTATTATTTCTGGCTGCAGTAGCTTGATTGCTTCAATTGCTTGCGTGTTAGCTGTTTGTAAAGTTGTGATACCTCAATGCATTATGGTAAGCACTACAATACCTTGCATTTGGCTATCGTAGCACTTTCTCTTACGAATGATGAATCTCGGTATTCGCACTTGAAATGCTTTCCGATAGCGATAGGAACGATTATATCAGAAAACAAACGCGGCAATCTACTTGAAACATTCGCTTTAACACCCCAGCTGTCAGCATGCGTAGTACATCCATTTGGTAAAGTCACAAACCAAATCTATGATGTGGTGTACAAGATGGTCAGATAATATCAAATACGAGAAGTAAAAGTATGCAACCAGCATGAAATGTTGAACGTTGAGGGCAAGTCGCGGCTCTTGGTGTTGAGAAGGGTGCTCAGCATTTTACGGAGCCTGACAATAAATTCGGATGGAATCGGATGCGCGTGCTAATTACTGGCGCTGAGGTTACATTACACACATTATCCCCGGTCATCGGGATTGATGGAAAATGAGTGACCGCAGCAGATTCCTTCCTTTTCTTTCGACAAGGGTTGTATTTGAGGTACGACACAACAAATGGTAGGACTGCCATACACAACCAAATGTTGGTTCTGAGGTGCGTTATTGAATCTTTGAATAATGAAGGCGGGGTTGAAGTTGAATGCGTCCCATTTGAACCAATATACTCAATTATCGTATGATAGCCTTCCAATCCCCCGTGGTTGACCAAGTTTTGCCGTTACTACAATGTAAGGCTATTGATTGACGCCTTTGAGGTGCCGAAGCGAACGCTGTAACGTCAAACAGAGGGGGTACTTGATGACAGGAGGCCTTTATTGGTAATGCAGCGCATTATGAAAAGGTAGGTGCTAATCCTCTTTCCTTTTTATGCTTCCTTCGGCAGATATAAAAAAATGATAATGGTTTGCGGAATAAGACAACTAGATATTTTTTCTTCGTGCGATCGTTGAATTGCTTGCAACATTAGTTGTCGTGGACGTAATCTAGGTACCGTCGACCTTAGCTCAGCCTACAATGTCGCCTCGTGGCGGGAGCTTTTATTTAAGTCTTAGATGTCCGCCGGGTACCGTCGTATTCGGTGGTGATTCCTATTGGTTAGCTTATGGTTAAAAATTCGAGGATCAAGAAAGCATCCTATAGGTGTGAAACATGGTTGAAGCAGACACAGAGTACTTGAGCTCTAGTGAGTGCCCATGAATTAAATGGACAGTTCACCACTACACTCCTGGAATCTTCCTTGATCTGTGTGGTTAGCATTTGTCCAACACATCGGATAGTTGTCTAGTCTGGATCAGTGAATGCACGTCCGAGGACGATGGGAATGGTAGATGAATGTTAAAGGGCCGCGATTAAAATGGCAGGCTGAGATGGATGCCCAAGGTTACACAAAATGTGGTGAGCTTTCTGACCAGCAAATGAGCAACGACACGTGATATGATGACGAGGTTCCTTAATGACAGGCTTTGTAATTGAACGTTTGTTGCGGTCAATTTTGACAATATTGCAGATAGAACTCGGATCGACGTTTGATTTGAAACTGACCTGCGTGTTTGACAATTTTCTTGAAGAAGTGATGTCAGATCTATATCAGAAACATGCTTCTTGTTGTCTCAATTGAACTCCCAAGTTCCGTTGTATGGCATATTATGGAGGCTAGTGTAGTTAAGTAATTGATATGATGACTTAGTCCAGCGTAAACTCTTATCTCCGAAGGCTCACACCTGAAGTCAATATTATAATTTGTTATGGAAGGTATTGCTAGTGGATCGAACGTGTAATTAGCCGTATGTTTACCAAAGTATTGTATTGTGGGATTGGATGTGACTATAGAACGGCCTGAACTTGTAGATTACGCAGCAGAGTGGAACTGGTTAAGACTCTTAGAGTTGCCGTTGCAAAGGAAATAGTCTCGGGTGCCGAGCAACTCACTCGAGTATTCTGTCTGATTACTACCACTGATTAGCCCTGAACTATTGTTCGCTTGAATTCTAGCAATTGAATCCACTTACCTACCAAAAACACGAACATATTACTGATTGCCGAAGGATCGAATGCTTGAAACATGTTTAAATACTTTGGCCAGGAATCGGGCCTTCAAGATTGTGTTAGAAAGCAAGGAGCCTCTGATGGGCATAGAATGGAATGGTACCCTGCATTGGAGGTGTTCGAAGGCTATCCATACCTACAAACAACTGTTTTTCGCGAATACTATCCAATATTTACTCACGGGCTAGCAGCCATCTATCGAGCATTGTTCTGCTCCAACGAGACCTTATTGGGTAGATAAATGCTGATTCGTAGCGCTGCAGAGGGTTCATTTATCATCGTAGAATGCAACTCAGTCAAGCATCTATAATGCTTCATGAACTGCCCTCTTTTCATTGCAATCACTCTTTGGCAAATTTCCACATATGGAGTTATCACCAACTAATAATTCATACACGCAGGGTATTGCGGTGATTAATTGGCAGGATCCTATGTCAGAACTGGATGTGATTGCGAACCGACTGCAGATGCATATGTTACCAATATCTCCGCCTGGCAGAAAGATGGAAATAGAGTTATCGACGCTCGACTTGACTGGTATCACATTAATCATTAATCATTAGTCTATCCTCTATTTAAGGTATTTCCAGCGCCCCTAGAAACATCATTAGTATCCATTCCCAAAACTGGAAGAAGCTTCAACTTACTTTGGATTATCCTCTGTAAATTCATCCCACCTTCTAGCCTTTTCGGTCTCCTCGTCCATTTTCTCGAAATCATCAGGATCAATCTCAGGTATAATACCACTTGCCTCTCCACCTCCTTCAATTATACCACCCCTCGCTCTCTCTTCTTCCAGATATTCATCTATCGTCATAGTCGGCAAATTATGCCCTGGTCTGAATACACCCTTTTGTAATGCTTGTCTACTTTCTAGTAGAGTAAATGGCCGTAATGGCTTTCCTCCAGTACTCAAGATTGGCCCTTTGTTATTTGTAGTAATATCTCTCATATCCAAGCGATCCGAGTATCCTGCGTCTGGTCCGCGCAGACCTCCTATTCGTTCCCTGTCATCCGGTTGCTGACCTTGGGGAACTTGTGGTCCCACAGGTGCCATAGCCAAGATCTCGAGTTCGCGGTTGATGGATTCGAGTGATTGAAAGGCATTATGCGAACACAAGGATAGTTTAGCAACTTCTAATTCGCGAATGGCATCTTCATCGTTTTGTAGATAGGCTGGATTCGCTGCCAGAAACTGAGATTGTTAGCATGTTGCACCAAATCAGAAGATTCGTTTGAGGGCTGCTCGGCATAGAATAACCCCAGCGTGAGCCGAAGACACATACATCCAGCTTCTTTTTAAGTTCCTTCTCCATCTTAAAATTTGCGATCTTTGCATTCCTTCTTGCAGTTGGATCTGTGGTGGAAATGGTTGAGAACGTAGATGGCGATTCTTGATATTCAGCATACAACTTCTTTTCTGCAGTAGATAGCATCTCATAATATCCTAGTTGAGTTAAAAATGCTTCATAACATTTTTTGGCCTCTTGCAAAATTACTTTTCGATCACTAGTATTTGTGGAAAGTCGTTGACCCAAATCTGCGATCCTGTAAGGAATGACCAAATATCTAAAGAGAATCATTAGCTTGCTGCCCTATCTTCATGCGTATGAACATACTGTATATCACTAGAATTGATATCTTCCAAAGTTTCGTTTGGGCTGAATAATGCAAGTCTATCTGCAAGCTGCCGACATTCTTGGTATGCAGTCAGCGCATTCGCAATATCTTCCTGATATTTTTCTGTATTTGTATCCCATGATGATTCAATAGCCAGTCTTTGGCGCTCTGCTGAATTGAAGAGGGTTTTGAGAGAACTATCTGCCATATTCAAAACAATTCGAAGGATATATGCGGGTTTGGGGGTCGGGAGATACCAGGTATATGATGAATAATTTGGGAGAGCGTCAGGGCAACAGTGTGATGTTGTGGTGGGGGATTAGCTGTGAAACCCAAAATTGCTGGAGAAATGCGGCCGCCTCCAGTGGATGACAGCAGACCGCCTTCCTGATTCACTCAGATTTGGCAGATCTATAATAAATTCTCCACAATAGGTAAGTGAATCTACTAGGTACCTAGCAGGCACCTAGGAGCCTAGGTAAACTCAAGATATAGCTTATTTAATAACAAAAACGAACTCACTTTCCTTATACAATTCTTCTCTAAATTTATATATCTTCATTATTTCCAAATCGGGAAAGATCTTTAGCATATTTCAGCCACTAGCAGGAGCACAAGCGAACGATGCCCCACAGATAATGAGAAACTTATCAGCAGCAAAAAGTCTTCATTGTTATTGTTGATCTTTTCGCATCAGATGAAACTCCAGTTGGGGGGAGGGGAAATTCACTTCTTCTCAATATCACAACCAGATAAAAAAATTCAATTTCTCTCACCTCTCAACACTCTGCAAATATCCATTGCATCTTGACAAACCTCTTTCTCATCCCTTAAAAGTGTATTTGCGCCTTTCCTGCCTCTTTTCCTTTCTCTTGTTCATCATTTCTACATTTTGACTTCTGCCTGCCAGTGTTGCACGGTAGACCTCATCCCACCCTGCAGCATGCGCTGGAAGAGGTGCATGAATGCAAAATCAAACCATTTTACACTAATTGTGTTTGCTTTTGGTATTAACAATGGAAACTAATGGAAATCGACAAGCAGGAAGAAAAGACATAACTCCTTCAGATCAAGAGGATCTTTTATCATTTGATGATATTGTTACTATCGATCCACCTAAAACCTTGTCTTCTTCCGTCGCCCAGTATACTTTTCGGGAAAATATACCTTCTGCACATGGCAATGGAAATGCTAAAGTAGATTTCAACAGTGGTTATCTCAAAAAGGCTTCCCTATCTTCAACAGGCAATCAAGGTGATGCCAAAAGTTCTCCCCCTCTTTCACCTGATAGCAATCTGGAATTTATCTTTGGACCTCCTCTAAGGAAGCCGGAGAGGCCACTCTTTAATAAATCTTCCCATTCATTTCAAGCTTCGAGTTTGTTTGCGCAACAATCTTTCACTAATCTAGGGCAAGGCCTCTCCGCACCAATTGCTAACACGACTATACCATTGCACGAAACAAGCTTACTAGAAGAGTCTTCAAGATCTTCGAGTCCTGATCTTATTCAATTCACTCCCCAAAGCAAAATTTGCCAAAAGAGGAAATTCCAAAAGCTAAAAACCTCCTCCAAATTCACGCCTCAAAACTGAATTTCGGTTCATCCGCCTTCTTATCATTGAATCCTTTCCCTTCTTCAAGCATACCCCGCACAAGAGGAAAGTTACAGGGAAATTGGGCTTCTTCTATCGAGAATCCAAGAACTCTTGACCCAAAGATACTCAAACCAGTTATCATCGGTACTCGCCCGGGTGAAGGCTTTCAAAAGGTTTCAAGAACAGACATGGCTCAAGCTGATACCTTCGATAAATCTTTTCTTGCTGGGACTGCGGATATGAAGTTGTCACCAGTTTCTCACCATGCGGATGTGGTTGCAACGACGGTCAGTTCTATGTATCTGGGCTCTCCGTACTGGCTAACTGGTCCTCAACAGGTCATCGACTCGATTACTACACAGCAAACCGCAATAGCCACTCGTAATCCAGCTCAAAGCTCTAAGATGACAGATCCTGAAATCCCTTTACTCCCCAGAATGGATGAGGCAGGTTCTCCCGTAATTCTACCATTAGACTCTGGAGACCAAATACCTTCTGGAAACTTTCCTTTACAGCTTGATCCATCATCTCCGGAGAAACATTCTGCGAGTGTATCCCCAATCAATCAAGTCCCTACACCATTTGCACTTGCTACGAGAACAACCGATGATGTTTTCGCAGAACTTAGGCGGCCTTTGCATCCTCAAGCGAGTCACAACCAGGTTTATAATAAAACTTCCTCTTCCCTTGATGATCTCAAATCGAACGATGAAATTCTAGATAATAACCAAGGTTCCAACCAGAAAGATCTGCCTGTTGTTGAAGAGGATGGGGAAGATGAAGAGGAAGAGGACACGAACCAAGCCATTCCCGATATCAAACGTATCTCAGCACGAAAACAAAAGAATGCTGCTATATTTGACGTTTTTCTCAAGGAGGCTACCAAACAGCCAAAGACAGAAAAGATTTCACATGCAAATGATGAAGCAATTCAGTCTACTCGGTGGTTGATAGACCAGGCAGAAAAACAGCATATTATAGAAAGTCCCAGGGACTATCAGCTTGAATTATTTGAGAAGGCAAAGAAACAGAATATTATAGCTGTGCTTGATACAGGTAAGCTTTTCTTTGACCGTTCTATTTTTACCAATCTGGCTAATATTTTTAGGGTCTGGCAAAACATTCATTGCAGTTCTCTTACTTCGGTGGATCATAGACCAAGAGCTTGAAGATAGAGCTATTGGCAAGTCTCATCGTGTTTCATTCTTCTTGGTACGTCTGACATGATACTTGATATATCAACACTAACATGTAAATAAGGTTGATTCCGTGACCCTTTGTCATCAACAACACTCGGTGCTCAGAAACAATCTCAATCAGCCAACAGACATGATCTGTGGGCTTACGGGAACTGATTTGTCCGATCACATAAAGTGGAAAAAACGAATGGATGCGAACATGGTCATTGTCTGCACCGCAGAAATTTTACGTCAATGCTTGCACCATTCGTTTGTTACAATGGGTCAGATAAATCTGCTCATTTTCGATGAAGCTCATCATGCAAAGAAAGATCATCCTTATGCCAGGATTATCAAGGATTTTTATCGCAATGACACGGGAAAAGATTTCACTCTGCCTAAGATATTCGGGATGACAGCATCACCTGTAGATGCTAGAGATAATGTCAAGAAAGCTGCAGAGGAACTTGAAGGTCTGTTACACAGTCAGATATGTACTGCGGAAGATCCCAGCTTGCTGCAATACTCAATCAAAGGCAAACCTGAAACTATTGCATATTATGATCCTTTGGGCCCGAAGTTTAATACTCCTCTATATCTTCAAATGCTCCCGCTTCTGAAGGATAATCCTATCTTTCGAAAGCCGTTTGTATTTGGGACAGAAGCTAGTAGGACTCTAGGATCTTGGTGTGTTGACCAGATCTGGACTTTTTGTCTTCAAGAAGAAGAGTCTAAGAAACTACAAGCAAAGACAGAGCAGGCGCATCATAAGAAAAGAGTCCCAGAGCCACTTGATGTGCTAGAGAAACGCAAGGAACAGCTTGAAGAAGCCAAGTCCATTGTCAAAAATCACATTTTCGAGCCACCCCACTTTGCATCAAGATTATCTGATGATCTCACAACAAAAGTCCACTATTCGAGCAATTTATCTACCAAAGTGGTTGCTCTCTTAAGTATTCTCAAAGATCGTTTCCAACGGCCCACCAATGACAAGTGTATTGTGTTTGTCAGAGAGAGATATACCGCACGCCTTCTAGCCTCACTTCTCTCCACACCTGAAGCCGGCACACCATTCTTGAAGGTTGCACCGCTGGTATGTAACTGATTCTATTCACTGAACATAACTCCTAACACTCTTACAGGTTGGTACTACGTCTGCTTCAGCCGGGGAAATGCATATCACTTTCAGATCGCAAACTCTTACCATGCATGATTTTCGCAATGGTAAGATCAACTGCCTTATCGCAACGTCAGTTGCTGAAGAAGGCCTCGATATTCCTGACTGTAATCTCGTTGTCAGATTTGATTTATACAATACAGTCATTCAGTACATTCAATCCAGAGGTCGTGCTAGGCATGTCAATTCAAGGTATTACCACATGGTAGAGAGCCACAACGAGGAACACATTGATACAATCAAAGAGGTTTTGAAGCATGAGAAAATGCTGAAGCTTTTCGCTTCTGCTCTTCCAGAAGATCGCAAATTGACCGGAAATAATTTCAATATGGACTATTTCCTCAAGAAGGAACGAGGCCATCGAATCTACCCTGTTCCAAATAGTGACGCAAAACTTACTTACAGAATGAGCTTAACGGTCCTATCCGCCTTCGTTGACTCGCTTCCTCGAGCCCCAGAGTCGGTTCTTCGGGTGGATTATGTCGTCACAACTGTCGATAAGCAATTTGTTTGCGAGGTCATCTTACCAGAGGAAGCACCCATACGTGGAGCAATTGGTCGACCAGCAACAACCAAACAAGTGGCCAAATGCTCCGCAGCCTTCGAGACGTGTGTGATTTTGCACAAGAAAGGGTATATCAACGACTACCTACTTTCTACATTCAAAAGATCGGCACACATGATGAGAAATGCACTTTTGGCTGTGGATGGAAAAAAGCGAGAAGCTTATGATATGCAGACTAAACCAACTTTATGGTCTTCCAAAGGGGATCAAGGCATATTTTATATGACTGTCTTGTCTCTTAAAACTCCAGATAGTCTTGACAGAGCATCTCAACCCTTGGGATTGTTGACAAGATGTCCCCTGCCTGATTTGCCAGAATTTGTTCTTCATTTTGGAGGAGGACGAAACTCTCCAGTCTCGTGCGTACCTCTCGCTTCCTCAATTACGCTCGAAGGAAACATGCTTGACCAGGTCAATATGTTCACCCTATGTTTATTCCAAGATGTGTTCAGTAAAGCCTACAAATCAGACCCCGATAGTATGCCCTACTTTATAGTTCCCATCAGCTGTTTGAACACCATTGTCGACTGGAAATCACAAATCCCAATGTCAATAATCGACTGGGAGACAGTTGCATATGTCCAAGACTTCGAGAACAAACAAGCTGATAAACCATGGGAGTACAAGCCATGGTTAGGGAAGCCCGATAATTATTTCAAAGACAAATTTATAACTGATCCCTTTGATGGATCG